GGACACAGAGCTACGGTTCTGCACATAAAATCACTTTAAATACACTGACTGATCCAGGGCTCGGTAGAGGATGCTCACTCAATACTGCCCTCATTCTCCTGTGCAGCTTATAGGCTTGCATGAGGGTTCACAGCAGAGGCCAGCTTGTTCTGTTATTTCTCTGGTATGTGAGCAGAGGAGTCTGGATCGATGCCCAAGTCTGAGCCATCAGTGCCACGTGACATACAAAGAACCTACAAAGACCAGCGGTCTGACCGGCACCTGACGGCTCGGGGACACATGACATTCTTGACAGTAGCTCAGAACTGACTTGTCTGCATTGTCAAAGGGTATAAATGCCTACGCCACTAGAGCCCGTGCAGCCCATGCATCTACTAGATTTCTCATTTTGATAAGAACCTGACTTGTCTCATTTAAATAAACACATCTAAAACTAAAGACATCAACAAATAGCTGTGCAAGCACGTAACTTAGAAATACGCAAGCAGGTAAGAAAAAAAGGCAGCTGAGAGAAGTGAAAGGGATGATTTTGGAGAAATAAAATTTGGGATTGGGGGTGTAGGGCCAAGACCACTGACACTTTGCAGAACTATTTCACTTTCTGAACTATTTTTACTTAAATAAACTTGAAGGAAAATAATTTATTATGAAGGGAAAAACAAGAATGAGAAAAAAAAACCAAGTTTACACCAAGGAGTCAGTCGAGGTCACCAGGGAAGCAGTGGCTTCAGAATGACCCCCCAGAAAGTTAACAAAGAGCCACGCAGGGCAGAGGTGTGGGGACGGGGCCACCTGCCAGGAGCTATGGCCTTGGTTGTGGGGTACAGGCCAGCAGAGCCTCCTCTGATCTCCCTTTCCTCCCCTCCTCCTTCAACCGACCCGGCAGGAGCTCCCACTGACCAAAAAGGCTGGAAGCCAGTGGGCCTGAGAGAACAGCAATGCCCCCCACGAGGCACCCCCCTCATGCTGTGCCCCTCACTGTGCGCCCCCTCCAGGCAGCCGCCAGAAGCAGAGAACAGGCAGGAAGGTGGAGCGCGCTTCTGGAGAGTGAATGGAAAGCATCCCACCCACAGCCCCCACAACAGACTGCAAACCGCAGTTATCCTTCCAAACAAAGCCCCCAAGAATTTGGGGTGGTAGGAAAACACCGAAATAGCAAACAGTTGCTTTTTTTTTTCTTCAATCTTCAGATTGGCAAAGCAGTTTTTCTGTATCACAACTACTTCGGCACAGACGACTGGGGGTGCAGCCGGTAAATGAGGAGGCGGGAATAGCCACCGCACCTCGAGTTTTTCGGGAAAACATCACCAAGAAACAACTGAGAAGGCGAATCCCTACTCCCCTCTGTCTACCAAAGAGGCAAAAGCAGCATGCGGGGCGGGGCGGGAGCTGAGCGCAAGGTCCGGCATGGCAGGGCTGGGCGGGGACGCGGCTAGGACGTGGGCGGGGATCTCGGCGGGGCTTGGAGGCAGGGCGCGGCGTAGGGCGGGGTGGAGGGGCCCGGCGTCACGTGGCAGAGACTTCGTGCAGAGCACCCCCACCGCAACCAAGGAAGCCACAAAGACCCGCGCATCCTTTTCTGCAGCCACTCGAGAAAGCGTCTCTCCCGAGCTGTCTGTGGTGCGTGGACGGGCGGGAGAGCGCGGCTCGGTGTCTCAGCAGCGGTCAGCGCCGCCAGACCGCGCACCTGGCGGCACCGACAGCTACTGACAGCTCATCATGTGAATCGGTGTGTACCATGTGATGCCAAGTTCAAGAGACACGAGAAGGAATGACCCTGCAAGACTCCCCTCCACCTCCGCGGCGGCCAGCTCCAGCTGCGAGGATGACGAACGATCTTTTTATGGTGAACAATTTCTGTTCCCACTCACAAGTAGACCCGCGGGCGGCGGGACGTCTGCGAAAGTCGTAGGACCCGCCCTGCGGCCCGGCTGTGCTCGAGAGCTGCGAGCCAGAGGTCAGAGTGGACCCCAGAGACACTCGCATCCACCCCAAGCCGAGCCACGCCGTAAGTCCGGAACGGCTCATGGATCGTGAGCCTTGGACGATGCTCCGGGAATGACTCGGGGTCATCCGACGGCTCCGCACGGAGAACCCACAGGCGGTCGTGGCCCAGAGCCAGGGCAGAGCGGGCCGAGGTTAGGCCGCTTCTGGATTCACCTCCGCGACGCCTGCCGACCCGCGGGAGACCAGAGCCCGGCGGGGCGCGGACGGCGAGAGACCAACTACCCCGCGGGGAGCTGCCGCCGGCCCCCGACGTCCTCAGGGCGGCCCGTCAGGAGAGGCGAGGCCCCGAGCAACGTGGTGCGGACAGGACAGCCCAGGCTTCCCCGGGACGCTCTGCGGACAGCCAACGACGTGTCCGACGAAACCGCCAATGTAACGCACCCACTCTGCGGAAGCCTCGCTGACCGGGATACGCGACCCCTCACGGGGGACTGAGACCCAGCCGCGCGGCCAGGGCCCTGGGGCTTCGGCTCGGCGCCCTGCGTTCCTCCTGCCACCGCCTCTCCGAGCTGAAGGCTTCCTCCCCACCCCACAGGGGCTCTGGCTCCGTGAGCTCGCGAGCCCGCAGGGCAGGACTGGCTCTGTTCTGTTTTCCACTAGGCCGTGCACAGTGGGTCGTCAGCACGTGCTCGCTTCCTGGAGCCCGCACACAGTGGGTCCTCAGCACACGTGCTCACTTCCTGGAGCCCACATACGGTGGGTCCTCAACACATGTGCTCACGTCCCTGCAGCCCGCACACAGTGGGTCCTCAGCACACGGGCTTGCTTCCTGGAGCCCACACACAGTGGGTCCTCAACACTTGCTGACTGAATCAACAGACAAGAGTCCTCATCTCCCTGCTGCCCATCATGCGCTCCTTCCCCTCATCTACTTTTCCATTTGCTGCTCTCCTGAAATGTTTCCACAGCGAGTGGCTTCACATGAAGTCATTCCTGGCTTTGCTTTCCGTTCTCACTGATCAGCGCCTATGTGGTTCGTGCTGGGGTTTACCCTGGTTTTCCTCGGCTGCTTTTATTACCTCTTGCTGTTAAATGTTTCTTGCCCATGCTCTACACAGGCGTGTGTGTGCATGCCCCTGCCACAGACACACACGCGTGGTCTTTGTTGGGTCTCCTGTACCTCTGAGACTGGTGGCGTCACCTCCTGTCTGCTTTGAAACAGCCAACGCCAGTGAGTTCCTAGCACAGAGGTGATGAGCATATGGACCGCGACGGACTGGCCTGTTGACAACATCGCTGTTCAAACTGATCCCAGGAGACCGTGACGTCCGCTTCCAGGTCAGGAAGTGCTCTCCTGTGTGGTGTGACTCAGAAGCGGAACAATCCTGGGGGCATAGCCCACTGCCTGGCCTCTGCACCAGTACAGTTCAAGACCTCTTCCGCAACCGGCCACAGCCCCAGGAGGTCCTGCCCACACCCTCACTGTGCCCTCCCTCCCCGTGCTCTGTCCTACCTGGACTGACCCCACACGCACCGCCCACCTCCCTCTTCCTGGATTAACCACCTCGTTCTCCGAGAACCCAGCACACTTCAGCTGTGCCACGTGTAGAACCCCTGATGCCCTCCCACCGGCCAGGACCGTCCCCCCTTCCCTGGGCCGCCCCTCGCCACACTGCTCCTCCTCTGACAGAGGGATGACATGCCAGACCTGCATGAAGTCACCGCTGCCATCTGGGGTCGGGGGATTGACGAGGGGACAGGCTGGGCACGAAACGCAGAACACAGAGCAGCACTGACGCCACAGGGTGGCATGTGGAAGGTCTGAGTCCAGCAGCGTTCTGGAAACGCAGGGAGACTGCCTCTGCAGCCGTTCCAAGGGTTTGTATGCTATCTCTAGTCCTTAATAAAACCGAGAATCCCAATCAAATGAGGACCAAGCAGAAGTAGAGAACCGGCAGTTCTTGGTGAGCAAGGGGATTTGGAGCAAATGAGAGCGTGAGGGGCCCTGCAACCCCCTTCCCAGGTCGGGTGGCTGCTGGCAGATGTGGACTCTCTCAGAGGGGTAGAGACAGCCCTGGGGGGTCTGAACTGGGTGGGGCAGTGCACGGGAAGAAGGTCAGGAGGGACAATGACAGCCATGGGAGAAGCCAGAAAGCAGAGACGCAAACAACCACACAAACCGAAGGGTCTGGGAGGGGAGGCCAGGGGCTGCACCGAGCAGTCAGGAATTCAGGCTGATTTCAGTAAATGACTTCTGCCTGGCGGGAGGGGGCACGCAGGGGAGGTAAGGGCTGGAGATGCTGCCCACTCATCTACCAGCCTGGCCTTCCGGTGTGCTGACCGGTCCTCATCACTGGCCTCCTGCTCACCAAGGGCACGTCTGCCACATTGGAGCCCAGTGACCACACGCCCCCCCAAGTGAAGGGCTCTCCTGGACCCGGGGCCCATGCACCACCAGGACCACTGGGCAGCTGATTAACATCCAGCAGGCAAGCACATGAGTCCTAGGTTTTCTAGTAGGTTTAGCTGAAAGGATTCAGGAAATCTAGATGTTTGCATGTTGGCATCATTTGAGTTCCCTGCAAACATTTAAATATAATCTGAAAAATTGCTCTTTGCTCTACAGTTCCATTTAGTTTTAATATTGTACTGAAGAGAGAAAGATAGCAATGTTCGACATCCCTTACTTTATCACCCCTTTGTGAAAGACAAATTGTCTTTCCGCTCACCCATCTGACCCCAGCTACTACCAACCCTGTGGCTACCGAAAGATATCAAGACCCCAGGAGCAGAAGCCTGGAGCCTCAGCGGACGCACAGGAGCAGGGGCTGGGGCAGGTCTCGGAAGCTCATGTGTGCAGGCCAGGCACGCCGCGGCAGTTATTCTGATGGAGAAAACCACCCGGCCACTGGTTTTTGCCAAAGGACACACTCAGGAAACTTCATGGTACTGAAAAAAATGAAGTCGATACCCTTAGGACTTTTTTCTTCCCTCAACACTGGGAATAAAGGATCGCAACCCACCATCTGCAGCCTTCCGTCGCGCAGACCCACCTGCTTGTCTCATGAGTTCTCCTCCTAGACCCCTGAAAATCAATGAGAACATTCAGGGTTAAAGTCTGTTATTATATAAAACAACACAAAACATCATCACCAAGTAACAGATGTAAGTTGAGTCTTCAAAAAATAATAAATGCAACTAATTAACACATTATTACAAATATGAACTACTTTTTATGAAAAACTGTGCTGTAACCATCTTTCAGACATCTTGAGTCCTAACAGATTATTCTGATTTTCAGTTTTTACTAGACACTATGATCTTTACTGGTGTTAATCGCATCATACAACCACACAGAACAAATTCCAAATACTGCTCAAGTCTCACTTTGTAAAGATTGAAGGAATTTAAGACACCAAAAAGAAATCATCATGTAGCCCAGGGAAGAGACCACTAATGTTCTATCACGACAAAACCAGGAGAGGAAACCCCACCTGTTCTAGATACCTCATTAACATACTGGCAACAGGAGGGTGGGAAACATGAATATAAGAAGCTCTCGGATGAGAAGACAGAAAATTAATTTATGAGACTCTGGCTTCTGGCCCAGATAGAGTAACACCATCCAGATTTGCCCTCTTGCCTTAAACAACTAGAAAACCGGACAAAATATATGTAACAAAGATTCAGACACTGAAAAACAGAGGTCCCGGGAGGAGGGAAGCGAGCCCCAGGGCACAGCCTGAGGATGGTTCCAGATACAGAGCAAGGAGTGAAGCCCAGCAGAGCCACCTGTCCTGCTGAGGCAAGGAGGTCCAGAGAGAAGGTGGGGAGGCCAAGGTGGCTGGAATCGGAGGGGCTGGGGAGCAGCACAGAGACAGCTCCAGACCTCTGAAGGGGCCCCCTCAAGCTGGGGCTGATTGAAAGTTGAACACGCAAAGAAAGAATGAGAGATAAATGTTACACAAGACAACTGGCCTGAACTCTTAAAAAAAGACTATCTCACGGAAAACAAGAGGAGGGACTGAATACTTCCAACACAGTCCATGAAGCTGAGTAGATCCTGGCTCATGGAGGAGGGCGGAAGCTACAAGAACACTGGAAGACAACTGGGGGGACCTGAGCTCACATGAGTCCCGTGGGTTTGCGGCTGACAGTGTGGTTGTGAAGAATGATGGTGCAGGATATGCAGGAGAAGGCTCTCTGGGCACGCATCCTCAGGTTTTAGAGCTGAAACACCATGCCTACAACTTACTTTCCACACAAAAAAAAAAACAAACAGTATAAAGAGAGACACGCCCACTAGCTAAGACAAAGCAAATGGTCAAAATGTTAATAAGTGATGAAGCCGGGGAAAAGAGGTACAGGGATTCATTTTACTATTCTTTTAATTTTGTTTAGGCCCATAATTCAAGATGAAACGTTGGAGGTGGAAGAAAAGCAGTCCTTTCTACACCCTGTCCCAGGGAGACTTTTCTGAGCACAGGAAACCAAAGAAAACGCATTCCTCATGCCACTCAGATCAGCGAGAAAGCAAAGGGAGAGCCCCGCAGAGACCAAGGAGACCCAGCGCCCTTGAGGCCCCATGGCCACTGCTCCCAAGACACCTGAATCAGGAGCCTCCAAAGGGCCTCAGCTTTACTCACAGAAGGGACAGGAGCACACTCCCTGGAGGACCACAGCATGGGGCTGGGGGCCACAGTGATGCCCAAGCCTGGGGGTTGCCTCAACGCGCAGACCACACATGCATCTTGCATATCCCATTCCAAGGTCAAGATCCATCTTCACTCGACTATGTGAGCTGCCATTTCCATTTACCCAAAGTTCACATTTCTTTAAGATTAAGACTTCTGTGCTTCTCTTCTGCAAATGATGACCTGTCACCACTCCTGCAGAAGGGCCTGACACTGCTGGACGACCTGCAGGGACTGGGATGTGGCCGTCACAAGCAATAATGCCACCACGTACTCAAGCGTCACGGGAAATTCAACCCAGGGCTTCCAGTGCGCTCCGGGCCCACTGATGGGCAGCACACGCCCCTCAGAGCTGTCAGGTTTGAGAACTTGGGCATTCCCAGTGAGACGTGAGCCACTGCAGCCTGGCCAGCACTCCCAGCCCTCCCCCTCTCCCCAAAGAGGAACGAACTTTCCATCAACCCTGCTGGACATGGCAATGCTCAGAGCTCCCACTGCGCACAGCGGTTCTCCCAGCACAACCCTGCCCGGCGGGCCAGCACTGACAACCTGGGGTGTCACAAGGACAGCTCCCCGTTAGCCTGTCAGAACCTCCATGATGCTCTGGTTCTGCTTCCTTCCTGCCAGTGGGGGGATCTGTGGGTCACACAGATACAAAGCTCTCGTCCTTCCAAGGCGGGGAGGTTCACTCTAGAGCCGGGGCCACTTCCCAGAGAAGATGGAGGCCACAGCTGGAAAGGTCTGGTGCTCTATCCCAGCTGCACCGAGGTCACCCCTGAGCCCTGGATGCTGTGCCTGACAGTTCTCTGCTCACCTGGGCCTGGGGCCCTGACGGGTGGTCTGTGCTGGCAGGTGGGCCACACTAAATCAGCTCAACTCCCTGGACACCAAGGCTCAGGTGGGCCTCCCGGGGTGGCAACAGCCGTGTGTGTGGCCCCAGAGACCGCTGGGAGAGTTCAGGGCTGCCGCGTGACTCCACTGGGAAGGGACAACAGGAGGCGCGCACCTGGTCTCCCTGCACTTCCACCCCCTGGGCCTTTTCTGCTGCTGCAAAAAGCCATAACCGCAAGCCGAACAGAATCACTGAGTTCTGCGTCCTTCCAGCAAGTCACTGAGCCTGACAGTGGTCTTAGGGACCCCCAAAGTCACGACAGGAAAACCATATTCCAAGGAAATAGTGGGGTTACAGTGGATATGGGAACTCAGAATGAGGGGATGTGGGTGTAACACCCACTCGCGTTGAACTGCAGGGGTGGTATGACCTTGCTTCTGTGGTCACTGGCCGGGGCCTCTGGCCAGGACGTGTGTGTGGGTTGCACACCGTGAATAAATGCTGCAGCAGCACCTGGCCTGGGCCCCACCGGAGAGCACTGCAGCACCACAGGCCACACGCTTCACCTTTCCACGGTAACCTCACTGAAGAGTGGTATTTCCTGTCTGTTCTTGAGACTCATCACTAAAACACAAAGACCACAAGCACATTTAGAATTTGTAAGATGCCAGCAGATGTCAGAAGCCGTCAGCTTCCAGATAAAGCTGCGCACAACAGGAGCATTCAGTTGCTCTGCGGTGGCAGTCTGCATGTGGCTCAGTGCACAGTTCACCGTCCACTCTGAGCCGTGGTTCCTTAGTCCAGTGGAGTTCGAGCCATTTCACGGGAAAGAAATGAACACATTTTTTATATGAGGGTAAGTGACTTGCTCCTTTCTTGCTGTTAAAACAGATGAAATGCTGGCAGTATCAGAGGGATGGCTGAGAGCGGCCTGCAATGGAGGAGTTCGGCCTCTGGGGGCTCCCCATGGGAACTGCGGCAGCAGAGCCCACCCCGGGATTGCGGAGGTGCAGACCCCTCCTCACGAGCCACTAAAGAAAGCCTGACCCCAAAACGTCACCTTTGCGCCAGACAGCAGAGCCCTGCCCTCCTGCCCACCCACGGGCCATCCTGCCTGTCTAGGTCCACGAGGCTCCAGCAGGTGCTTCTGGTGGAAAGTCCACTACAGCACACTCTGGAAGGAAAGAGAAGCTGTGAATCACTGCAGATGCGTGTCACCTGCAGGACGACACAAATGCCGTGCCCAACCAGAGTGAAAGGACAGTCACTGAGAAAGGGCCCAGAGCCCTGGAGCGCACCTCCACACCAACCACATCCCAGAGACGCTCGCAGGATACAGACAAGCCCTGCTCAGGCCTACGCACTCGCTCAGCCATGGCGCTCCGCAGTGGGGGTAGGTCCAACCGTTAGTGGGAATGGAGGCTGCATCCATGCAATCTCACCACTGACAGACTTGTCCAGAAAGGGGGATTTTGAAATAAAACAAGGACACAGACTTAAAGGAGACCAACTGTAAATGACAAGCACTGATTCAGAGCAGCCCCGAGTCAGAGAGGGCAATGCCAGCAACTGAACAGACCACCCAGTCGCCTCCGGAGGGGAGACCCTGGCCTGAGCCCTGGACAAGGCAGGTGGGAGATGGCCCGAGGCTGTCTGGAACACTGGAGGCAGGAAGAGGCCAAACAAGAACAGGCTGATGCTACCCTACACAGTCACAGTAAAAAGCCATTAAGAAAAATGGAAAGGCAAGTCACAGACGGAGAAAATTCTGACAAACCATATGTCTACAAAGAGCTTATATCCCAAATATGTAAAGAGCACTGACAGCTCAGTAAGCAGACAGACCATGAAATTTTTTTAATGAGCAAAAGATCTAAACAGTCACTTCATAGAAGACGACAAAGGATGACCCATCAGCACAGGAGAAGATCAAGGTCACCAATCACCAGGGAAATGCAAATCAAAGTGGCCCACAGGAATGGCTCCATTTAAGACTGTCTATACCTACTGCTGACGAGAACGTGGACAACTCCCACCTGCAGCCAGTGGGAGGAACACGGCACAGCCGCTTCGGAAGGTCCATCAGCATCTTAAAAACACACGTGTACCGTATGACCCCGCAACACCACTCCTCGGTATTCACCCCAGAGAAATGAAAGCATACGTCCACACCAAGACTCATACACTAGTGTTCACAGCAGCTTTACCCCAACAGCCAAAAGCTGGAACAGCTCAAATGTCCACCACCTGGCGCGCAGACAAACACAGCAAGCACATGCACACCACCCAATACCACACAGCAGGACACGGGGACACACCACTATATACGCTGCAACACAGATGAATCTCAGAGACAGGACACGAAGTGAAAGAAACCAGACCCAAAAGACTTCACGGTATGATTCCATCTACATGAAATTCAGAAGAGGCAGCGCTATGATGACAGAGGGCAGATGGCAGGCTGCCTGGGCTGGGAGGAGTGTCAGCCACGCTGGCTGCTCTGTCTCGGCTGTGGCCACATGACTGTCTGCAATCACCAGGACGAGCCAGCCTTATTGCACGTCAAGAAACCTCAATAAAGCTTAAAAGTTCCAACAAGACTTTCATGTCTCTTGACTCTAAGTGGCTCTGACCCCCGCGCAACTCAAAGAAGTGCAGTACGGACATCAGTGAGGACAATTCAACAGAAGCCCCACAACTCAGCGGCTGAGAAGCGTGCAAGGACCAGCCCAACCTTACTGACAGGGTAGTTTTTATAATAAGACACAAATAAGAACTTCAAGCTTGTAAAGCTTACCTGTATAACTGACGGTCGTACAGCTAAAAATAAAGAATTGAAAGTTCTTTAGTTATGTAAGTTATTTGGGTTTTTAAGACAACACAACAGGTATACAACATTAAAGAGCATCAAACTGAGAACAAGGGGAAAACAGCATGGGTGGATGTGGCTCGGCTGGGCTGGTTTCAGAGGCGACTGCGAGGCCTGAGGATGGAGCCCCTTCACTCTGCGCGGGCCCCTGATGGGTACTGTCTCACAGAACCCTCACGATAGCCCACCGGTCCCCCTTCCCCCTTGGGAGGCAAACTGAAGCACAGAGAGGAAGAAGGTCTCCAGCCAGTGAAGGGAGCTGGCACTGACCTGCGTCCTGGCCCCAGGTCCTATTCATAACCATTCTCCTAGACGGCCTCTCGGGCAGAAAACTAATCATCCCAACCCAGCTTCTGACCACCCTTTTTCCTCTGAAGAACTCAGAAGCGCCTCACAGCATCACAACTGCCATTACAGCTAAAACTTCCTGATGGTTCACCCTGTGCCCAAAGTGCCACTGGTGCTCTAAATGCAATCTTTAATTCCCGCAAACACTGCAGGACATGACGCGTGGCTACCCATATTTCGCAGGAAGAAGCCGTGGCCCAGAGATTCTCTGAATCTACACTACTTCCAGCGCGCCACTCGCACACTGACACAGTGGTCCTGAGAGTCAGAAGTGAATGCCAGGCTCCACTTTAAAAGTGAGAAATAAGTAAAGAGACTGAATGGCTTTGCAAAAATCACAAAGCGAGTTAATACACCAACAGGATAAGGGTCTGAGATCAAAATGCTATATTTTTATATAAAGAAGAAAATCTTGAAGAATACAAAACTTCACTCAGAACAACAAACAGTAAAGCCATTTAATTCCGAGTGATTCTGAAGTTTTCCTATACTATTAAGACCCATAGTTTATACTTTACCCCTTTTGACAAAGTCACAGAAGCCTTTGAGAATCTCAGAAACACAGAAAAATGCACACAACTTCTCCCTAGAGAAGTGTACTGACAAAATCTGAGTGTAATTCAGACTCAAGATTCCTGCCTTAGAGGCAGAGTTGGGAATCAAAGGCCTTCATGCTTGTTCTGTGCGCCGTCTGCATGAGAACAGGCCGCATCCACAGCAGAAGGCACAGAACACTCCCCGAGCGGCAGAGCTCCCGAGGGAGGAGTGCAGTCAGGCACCACAGAAGGAGGAGACACGAGAGCTGAGTGTTATCTGCAACTTCTAGACCGCACTGGCCCAGTCAGTCACCTTCTGTCTCGCACTGAGGACACTTTGGCCACATGAGAAGAAACTCTGAGAAGCACACTTTCTCAGAGATTTCCTCCCATCCAGACAAACTCATAAGGCATTGGCCACAAGAGAGAGAAGCCAATGAAGAGAACTGCTCTGAGCGGATGGAGCCCAGGTTAGCCAAGAGGCCCCAGGACCGGTCCTCAGCGGGAAGCTTTGTGGTCATCAGACCCCAAGGCTTCAAATGGGGCTGAGGAGGGTGGAGAGAGCTCGAGAGGTCAGGCAGACACTGCCCAGGCTCCGTGAGGCCTTGAGAAAGGGGCACGCTCCAGCGCTGCACGCAGACCTGCTGGTGAATCTGCTTCAGGCCCTGCACCACCTTCTCGTCCAGGTCGTCCACGACGGGCCTGCAGAAATGCAAACACGGCCTCTGAGAACTCGAAGAAGCAAGCACTAAGGAAGCCCGCGGCTCAGCATGACCTGCATTTTGTGGGCGCCCATCAGCTCCCGCAGACGCCTGCAGGGGATCCCCACAGCGGCGTCCACTCAAGGGGGTGACGAAGGACCTTCTCTGTAAAGCTCCGACCCAGGCAGCAGTTTGCTGACAACAGAGACAGTCCTCTGATGAGGACGGGGTTCCCTCAGACCTTCTTCTTCTTCCAGGGGTCCTTGAGAGCCAAGACCCCTGGGGACGGGGGGGCACTTGAGGCCCCAGGGGACAGGGAGCAGCCGAGCTCACAGCTTTGGAAAAAGAGACAGGATCGGCTGCAGGTGCAGTGAGGGCCTGTGACCAGATGGGAGCTGACAGAGCAGCCTCATCACGGCCCTGGTGGGGTCTGCTGGTGAGGCTGGCCCTCAGCTGGCGCCCAGAAACCCGGATTTTGGGAGGGGTCCCACCGTTCCCTAAACGATGAGGGTAACTCTCTGTGCCCAGACTGTTTGTACAAACCATGGGGTTTATGCTGAAACCTGCTTTCCTTCTGGGAGCCTGGAGTTTTGGTATGTGCTCGGCAGAGGGAACCCACATGACCAGCCCCCCATAAAAACCCTGGGCACTGGTCTCTGTGACCTTCCCTGGTGGGCAACACCTCACATGTGCTGTCACACTCCGCACTGGCAGATTAGGTATGCCCCGTGCAGCTGCACCGGGAGAGGATTCACACCTGGTCTCCCCTGGACCAGGAGCACTGCTGTGGCACCAGGTCAGATCCTCAGCCTAGCCCACAGGGGCCACTGCGCCCCCACAGGATGCCCTTGAAACAGACCGTGGTTGTGAGCCTGAGTCTGGGGTGAAAGACGACCAGACCCCGGGGGCCCCCTGGTGAGAGGAGTGGGGCCACCAGGGCATCTCACTGTCCTGCCCCCAGGGAACCACCCAGAGCGACGTGACATGATTTAGTTCTTCTCACGCTGAGTCCAAGAACCAGGTCACAGACATTACGTGCGTTGTGAGCTCTCTCCTCCTCTGAGGAAAAGTAACGAAAACCAAGCAGCTGCTTCACAAACGTTCTCACACATGGAACTTCTCAAATGACCCTGCATCATGTGCTTATTATCTATACAAAACTTCGCCAACTGAAAAAGTTCCTGGTGGAAACTTTTAAATCTATATTCTCTGATATTTTTTAAATTATTAAAAGGGACGAACAAAGACTACCGAATATATGAGCTACTCAAGGCCATCTCTGCCTTTACAGTCTGACTCACTAGCCCAGAAAGAGTGAGGCGACCTACAGGGACAGCTACTGAACGCCTGTGGCCATCGGAGGCCCCTGCCCAGCTTCCCGAGAGAGGGCGGTGGGTCCATCAGAGGGCGCAACTTATCAGAGGAGAGGGGACCACTGACAAACCTCGTCAAATAAAAGGCGGGGACCTGCAGACTCGAGGCATGGGTCAAACAACAAACACGAGAGCGATGGGGTCCCACAGGAGAGTGGGTGCTCACCTGTCCTCCTGCACCGCGAGTCTGGACAGGCTGTGGGCGACCTCCGCACAGGCCAGCACTGCCCCATGCCGCGTGTGCAGGTCTGGACTCCGCGTCATCGACAGCAGACGTGGGAAGACTGCAAAGGACAGGGGCGGGAGGACACGAATGAGCACACAGGATAATTTGTCAGACGAGGATTCAGGATCCAAAGAGAGAAACGTGCCTGCTGAAAGTGATCTTGTCAGGATCATTATCGCAACACCCAGGACTTGACCTGAAGTCGCCAACATACCACGCTCCTCCCTCGGCACTCAGAGTGAACGGGAACCTGACCAAGGACATCTCTTACACCCCAAACAGCACACGGTCCCCGGGTCTCCTGGTCACAGGGTGGGTGACACGGGTCAAGAACAGAGAGCAGGGAAGAAGGAAAACAGAATGTTCGTAGGTCTTTCGTGTCATTAAGTGGGCAGAGCAGGACACAGGCCGAGCGGAGGGCGCTCCAGTCCACACGCGGTGCACCCCAGCTCAGGAGCCTGCTCTCTCCTGCTCCAAGCAGAGGCAGCCTCCGAGCCTTCTGTGCTCTGGGGACAGAGAGCAGAGTCACAGAATCCTTACAGCCTGGTAGAAAGTGCAGACGAGGAGCCACATCCGCACTGGCTCTGCCCCACCAGCCTGGGGAACGCACAGTGCTCTGAGCCTCAGCCTCCCCAGATGCACAAATGCAGCAGAGGGCGTAAAAGCAGGAAGAGCCCCCACACAGGCCCTCAAATGTGGCAGCCGGTAGCAGTCAGTGTTTAAGAATCGGGAAATTCCTTAGCCTGGGGCCGTCGACACTCCCGAACTGGGAAGAAAGGACAACGGTCGAGCACCCCTTCGTGCAGGCAGCAAAGACTGTAGATTAAAGGTAAGTAAGGGAGCGCCACGCGAGATTCCCGAGTAAGTGTAATTAACAGGCCACAAAGCTGAAAGGGCCCTTAGGAACTAACAGGCCCCAAATCTCCATTTAAAGTCCCAGAGAGTGTGAAACACACACCTAAGTAAAATCAATAACTCTAAGTGAAGAACTACGATTAGACCACTAGTGACTCACTCTAATAAATGTCAGTGGGAATAAGTATAATTTTGAGAAATTTGTATTGTTCCCTACATTTAAATTATTCCAAGTAGAAAAGACACGATGAAACACATGTAGGTTCTTTCCTCAACGATAACGAAGTGTAATCAGTCCAGACTTGTAGTCCTCTTCCAGGGTAATTCCACGCTGACGCACACTTTGAGGCTCTAGTTCAAGCCGGTCCCATCAACGTTGGCAAATCCAAAACAGCAGGCTACCCCCACGGCCAGGAGCCACCCGGGAAGCCAGGGAACCAGCCTATTTTTCAATATATTACATTATGAATTACTTCGCTTGTTCTTTTAAAAAAAGGCTTCTTCTGAAGTACGCATGATACATAACACGCTCCATCAATGCCCCGCTGTGACCGGCACCTGCTCCCAGGACACACAGACACGGCATTCACAGTGTCTGTCCTCACAGAGGCTGTGGCAATTGGCTTGTGTTCTGTCCCAATTAAGCACGGACCAGTTCCACACACACTTCTCAGCAAGGGAGAAACACAGCGGTTTTCCAGCCCCTAGTCCTTGACACCAGCAGTAGGCCCATGCTCGGCTTCCTGCTGTGTGTGCGTGCGTGTCTGCGGTGCACACGTGTGCGTATGTGTGGTGTGTGAGGCCTCTGCAGGATGGCCGAGCACACCTACCGTGAGTGGCGCTGTACTCAGGCGCTCGCTGGGCCAGGTTACCCAGCGCTTTCGCCGACAGCTCTCTGATGACCCTGGGGGGCAGGGACAGACAAAACTGTTAGTTCCTTCATTTTGATGATTCTAGCTTCATACAACTCATGAAAAGAGAGGACAGACTGTACACATGAGCTGTCAACTGGCCTCATAGTCAAAACCACTAATGCAAATAAACACAAATGAACAAACAACTAACCTCTGATGGTAATACAGGAAGAGAGAACTGACCAGAACAAAGCACTATATGCAGGCCTGTTTCAGGACACAGCCGCCATCCCCAAGGGGCTAGATGACAAACGTGTCTCCAACCTCCCACCCTAAGATTCAGAGATGCCAGCACTGGGCAGAACCATGGGGCATCGTCACTGTGAAGACTGCAAAGGTTGAATATGAGGAATTTCATATGGCTCAAGCTACAAATATGTCCAGTCAAAACACATTTGACATGTTCTCAACACACAGAACAACAGAAGGAGCCCCAGGACTGGCTAATGAGCCCTGAGTTGCCTCCCGAGCCCACCAGGGGCCAGCCAGCATCTGATCAAACCGAGAGCCCCCCAGCCCCCCCGGCCCCCCTCAGCACTAGAAGTCAGGAGGGCACTGGCAAGAGCAGGAAGTAGTCACTACCTTAAAATAATAATTAGGATGACTACAGAACAACATCCGAACAGGATAAAAATATTAAGGTGGAAACATGCAACAGTAAACAGCGAGCTCCTCACGACAGGGATGGCTCCTGTGCCGGGACACTCAACACCACGTGCCCATGCCCACGGCACCAGGTACTAACTGCCATAAGGTTAGCCAGACACGGTGGTGCCCCTCCCACCCTTCCATACACAGTCCATCTTCAGGAAGCCATTTCTGAAGAATGAGTGATTAATGGGTCTCAGAGCAGAGACCATTTATTTCTAAGCAGGAAGAAATCCCAAGTTTGCAAAGTGGGTAGCCATCCTAACGGGCTAGTTACACACATCATTTCCAATTGGAGCCACTCTGAGCATAAGCTTTCTCTATCTAAAAATATTAAATTTATCATCTAAACCTAAGACCTAAAACTATAAAACTCTTAGAAGGAAACAGAGGGGAAATCTTTATGACGTGAGATTTGGCAATGATCTCTAGGATATGACACCAAAAGCACAGGCAACAAAAGAGAAAAATAGATAAGCTGGTAACAGATAAATTGGACTAATTTAAAATTTAAAACTTCTGTGTATCAAAGGACACAATCAACAGAGTGAAAACACAACCTATGGAATGGGAGAAAATATCTGCAAATCATGTAACTGATAACAGGGTTAATGTCTAGGACATATAAAGAACTCCTACAACTCAACATTAACAACAACAAAAACAAATAATCGGATTAAAAAATGGGAAAGGACTTGAGACATTTCTGCAAAGAAGATATACAAATGGCCAAAAGGCACATGAGAAGATGCTCAACATCAACAATCATTAGGGAAATGCAAATCAAAACCACGATGAGATGTCATCTCACACCCAGTAAGATCACCACAATCACAAAGACAGAAAGTAACAAGTACTGGTGAGGATTTGGAGAACTGGATCCTTATGCTGATGGGAATGTAAAATGGTGCAGCCGTTAATGATAAACAGTATGGTTTTTGAGGTTCCTCAAAGAATTAAACATAGAAGTGCCATATGATACAGCACTTCCACTTCTGGGTATATACCCAAAAGAACTGAAAGCAGGGTCTCAGAGATATCTGCACACCCGTGTTGATAGCAGCACTATTCACAACAGCTCAGGGGTGGATGCCACCCAAGTGTCCATCAATGGATGAATAGATGAAGAAAATGTGGTATGTACATACAGTGGAATATTATTATTCAGCCTTAAAAAGGAAGAAAATCCTGTCACATGCTACAAGCTGGATGAACCTTGAGGACATTATGCTGAGGGAATTAAGCCAGTCACTAAAGGACAAATACTATATGATTTCCCTTACATGAGGTTCTTAGAGTCATCAAATCCACAGAGACAGAAAGTAAAGTGGTGGTTTTCAGGGGCTAGAGGAGGGGCAAAGGGGGAGTCATTGTTTAACAGGGACAGAGTTTCAGTTTTGCAAGATGAAAAAGTTCTGGAGATGGATGGTTGCACAACAATGTGAATGTACTTAACACTACTGAACCGTACACCTAGAAATGATTAAGATAATAAATATTATGTGTATGTTACCACAATCAAAAATTTTTTAAAATTATGTTTATCTTGATATATAAATTATTTTTGATGAGTATGTCTAAGTATCAGGAAACTTTTAAAAAGAAACCCAAGACAATGGACCAATACCTCTTAAAAATGTATACTATTAAAGTTCATGAAAATTCTGTAAGGCTCCCCATTTTCCATGAGCCATGCATTTACCAGAAAGTTGGAGAGACCCTATTTATGAACTTTTAGCTAATCCAGGCCAAAGACAGACAGAAAAAGACAGAAATATCTCTATCTCTGAAGAATCATAAAATAATAAGGTCATAATCATGCTTTGTAAATCCTAACATTCTAGAAAATGCTAGCTGGTGTTATCATGAGGATCTTCAAACCTGACTGAAAGTAGAACTAGACAAGATTTTCCCTCCATTCTGTGATTCAGACATCCTGAAAACTTCCAGGTTTTTAGAGCTTATTCTAAAAAGATTTCCATAAAAAAAAATATTTAATAAAATTAATAACAAAAAAAGCCATGAGAAAAAAATAGAAAACAAATAGCAAAATGACAGGCATAAGTTGAACCATGTTGATAATTACATTAAATGTGAACGGACTAAAGAGCTCACACAAGAGGCAGAGGTTGTCAGACGGCATATAAAAGCAAGACCCAATGGGACGCTGTCTCCAAGAGAAACAGACTGAGAGAAGACAGGCGGCAGCCATGACAGAGCTGAGTCGCTGGGGCGGGGCTGACCTGAGGCCTGCAGGCCAACCTGGCCTGAGGCCTCTTTTTCTAAGGACCCAAGCTAAGAATGATTTATACATTGTTCAAGGGTTGTATAAAGAAAAAACAATAAAATACATGGAAGTGACTTAAAATATTTACTCTCTGGACTTTTAAAGAAAAAGCTTGCCAACTTTCAAGCTATAACAATATCAAATTACACTTTAAGACAAGAAATCTAACATGAAACAAAGAGGGACATTTCATAATGATAAACGGTTGATACATTAGGAAGATACAAAAATTACAAATGCATCTGCACCTAACAAGAAAGCCCCACCCAAACACGAGGGAACTGACAGAACCGAAAGAAGACGCGGACATCTCAGCAGCGCTGGAGATCTCAGGAGCTCAACAGTTTAGTCTGAGACCACAGGTGATACATTTGCAATTTTGGTTTTAAATATCCTATTGACTGAAAAGCTAGTGGAAAAGGCAAATTAACTAATTTCTCCCGGGTTCGGTTTATAGGATCTTGGCTCTTAATTATGAGAGTTTTTGGTATCGTATCGGCAGTTAGGCATCAAACGTCAGACACTTGCACAAGTCTCAGGAAGGTCACCAGCAAGGAAAGCAGGAGAGGGGCTCCTGGCGGGTGGACTGCCCAGCTCGAGGGGCACCGAGATGCTTCTATTGTAGAGGTGCCCACTCGCAGAGAGAGCCCACCTCGGTGCATGTGCCCCGCACACACTGGACCCTTCACCACACGACAGCAGTTAACAGACACTCTCAAGGCCTTGGTCCTTGCAGAAGCTGGAACACATTCCCCAGCAGATCAGAAAGAACTGTCAGCAAGGAATACCCACCTTGAAACTGGGATTCTACAGTCCAATCTAACGAAGCTACTTAATCCATGGGCAGGTGCTGTTCCTCAGACCTGCCATCTGCATCCACAGCCACACCAAGCCTCCCTACGAGAACATAATCTCACCTTCCCAGAGGTGGCAACAGCAGCCAGGCTGATACTGTTTATGTTCTAGATTACACTCGGAGCCCTCCCCTTTGAAGAGACACATTTAACTGCCTATGAAATGCTAACATACCTTGAAACTGCCACGTAATTAGGAAAAAGCTATGCAAGTCTGCTCGGCTGCCAGGAGACAAGTGAGAAGATTACAGACCGGAGTGGCCACACAGAGCAGAATCGGGGTGGGAGGCTGTGGCCATTGTTCCTGCAGCCTAAGTTCCTTCAGTCCTCAGGAGGCGACCTGCCCTCCATGACACGCCAACACAAGAGCAGCCACGTGGGAACATTTACACACCCAAGAGACTTCACTAAGGTCTCCAGAAGCAAAACCGGAGACAGACTATTAACCAGCACATCACACATGAAGACCGGAACTTATGCTACTTCTCAAAAGTGATTTTAAAATATGAAATCTACAATGAGAAAATATACTCAAGACTTAAAGCTCAATTTAATCTCTCCTTTGGAAAAAAAATATGAACTCTTATTTGACAGATAAGCTAATAAAAGACACAGCTATTTAGACAAACACAAAAACGCAAAACCTACCCATCCCAGTGGTTGATCTTCTTGGCAACCAGGTGGTCGACCATGGGTCGTGTGTACTCAGGAAAGCCGGCAATAAACATGCTGAAAAAGACAATATTTGGAGATGGTGAGCATGCGGAGGAACAGGAGCTCGCACGCATCACTTGAGAGAATGTACTTTCAAAAAACAGTTTGGCAGTTTCTTATAAATACACAGAAAAGCCCTTATAAGTATTTATCCAAGAGAAATGAAGATATACGTCCACGTCAAGACTTCTAAGTAATTTTTCACAGCAGCTTTATTGATCAGAGCCAACAACTCAAAACAACCTAAATGTCTACAACAGATGAACTAACAGATAAACTGTGGAACAGCCACAGAAGAGAAGACAACTCAGCAACAGAGGAACCAGCCACCAACACACAACATGCCCAGAAGCCATAAAGGAAGAGATCAGTACATTCAAACACATAACCAGAGAAGAGAAATGTCTGCCAGGAAAAATATACCATAAACAAAGTGAAAAGGTAAAAATATCTGCAACTGCTACCACAAGAGACTTCCCTAAAATAAAGGAGTTCTTCCAATCAGTAAGAAAATACCACCAGAGACAGTTTATAGAAAAGGAAATAGATGTCGCTCAGACACGTGCAGTGAGGTTCCGCCTCATTCACAAGGGAAATGGAAAGAAAACCTTTGTCCATCTGTCAGACTATCAGTCTGGGGGGTTGGCAGCCATTGTTGGAAGGATCTAGAAGCATCCTGGGGGCAGCATTTTGGTGTAGCTTCTATGGGCAGCGACTGGTATCGTCCAGGAAATTTAAAACCCTTTGGTCCAGCAATTCACCTTTTGTTAATTCATTCAGATATAACCACACAGGTGAGAAATGATTTACACAAAAATATTGACTTCACATGGTTCATAAGAGCAAAAGACTGGACAGACGCCAACGGCCAGGAGGAGAGACCTGCAGGTTACACTATACATACAGATCTGGAACGCTCCAACGACGCTTCACAGGACAAAGAGAAAAGCGCCACACGGATGTTGCATGTAGCATGTTGTAGATGTGCTCTGCCATGTGTGATGAACACATGGCGCTCCTTCTTATTTCTGACAGCTGAATGTCACTATCTGACCAACCCGCTGCTGGTGAGCACTTAAGTTGTCCCAACCGCATTCACCATGTGCCGCCATTCGGCGTGGACGGACAGAAGTCAATAGACCTACACACGTGACGTGAACCAATTCTCTCTAGAAGACATATGAAGCTGGCGACAACCCCAGGATGGAACCGGGAGGAACCAGGGAGGAGAGCGGAGATACGGTTTTCCCTGAACTCTCCTCTGCACCTCCTGAATTTTATACCACACACATGTATTACCTATTCCAAAAAATGCACTTTTACACTTCATGCCTCTGAAATGCCCAACACTCACATATGTCTAAGCTGCCACGCCATCCACATAGCCCCGCCATGGACTTAGCCATCACCCACACGTGTTACTCGGCGGCTGAGAGATGGCACAGTGAGCCAAGAAGGGGGAAATACTATTTTACACAGATCCTGTGTGGGCACATGTGTGCGCAGACACGCAGTGAACACGGGTGTGGTGTGGACATGCCTGTGCCATAAGTTGTGAGATCTGGGAGAGTCGAGTCAGGGAAGGTCTTCGCTCTGGATACAAGAGAAAGAAAAGCAGAGGATTCTCCACAAGCAGGTAGGACGGGGAGCCCCTCTAAAGGCGGTGAAACAGCCTGTGAGAGAGGCAGGAGGAAAAACAGAAGTGGAGCCGAGACATGATGCCCAGTCCTGCGTCACCGAAGGGCCCCTGGTGCCACCCAACAGAAAGACCCACCCCAGGCCAGTGTCCCAGAGCAGAGCAGGATTCCAGAGCAGCGGCAGAGAAACGACCAGTGGCCTCAAGGGAAGAAGCCAAGGGAGGTGGCCGCCTGAGTTCTAGGCCGAGCTCCGGTACCAACCAGTGGCTGACCTTGGAGAAGACGTTCTGCTGGAACCAGCAGCCCAGGCAGTGCCCAGCACGTCCTGAGCACTCAGGTCTGCACGGAGGCCAAACTCGAACCAAGCGGGGAGTCCGCCAATGGGCAAAAGGCGAGGAGAGCTAAGGAGGGCAGATGACCGCAGAGGCAGCAGGGTCAGGAGGCAGGGCGGTGGGTGACGAGACTGCAGACAGATGACGGGGTGGGAGGGAGGGGTGAGGGGAAGGCTCTACGGAGTCCAGGACAGTGAGAGCTGGACTAAGGTGACAGCTGAAGGAGAAGCAAGATGAGGACCGTCTGAGGGCCATTAGGAATGCAGACGTGACAGAATCAGGTCACTCAGCGGATGTGGGAGTGAGTGAAGGAGAAGCAAAACTGAGCTGCCGCGGGCGGCGGCCATTTACCAAGTCAGGAGACAAGACAGGACACAGCTCTGGGGGATGCCCGAGTTTGAAGAGCTTACAGGACAGGAACGTGCAAGATTGTCACAAGCAAAATATGACAAAATGTGTTTTAAGAAGGTCATGGTTCTGCAGACGTCAGAAATCTGTTAAGGAAATTTACAACAGTACTAAGATAAACCAACAAGAAATGCTAACGACTGCGAGTTACATCACGACAGAAAACAGCCCAGCAGATGCAAGGAGCCCCCTGTGTTCACATGGAAGGTCAAAGGGCCATCAGCCGTGAACGGGAGACAAGCCACGGGACTCCCACTCGAGGATGCCACTCGGTGGACGACTGACACTCAGGAGCATGAGGAATCGATGCTGCCAAATGAAAGGACAGCTCACACACAATTCCACCAAATGGAATTCCAGAAAAGGTCAACTCAGGGACAGACGGTGGCTCAGGGGCAGCCGGGGCACGAGGGGACTTCCTGGAGTGTCTGCAGCAGTGGTGACACATCTGCCAAAACCCACGTTTTAAACTGGTGAATTGTACTACATGTAAATTACACGTAACAAAAGAGGTGTGCAAAAAGAAAGCTGAGTTTTTAAAAAAAGGTTTTGTCTTGGGAACACACAGGATACTGAAAGGACAAGCCTCAGACTAAGGGAAACTACGTGCAGATCGTGCCTCTGAAAAAGGACTTATATCCAGGATATACCAAGAATTCTCAAATTCTCAATAAGAAGAAAACAACTTAACCCAATAAACAAATAGGCAGAAGATGTGTCCAATGAGCCCATGAAAAGATGCCCAGTGTCCTCAGTCATGAGGAAAAAACACTGCAAGAGCTCCTCCTGCACATCACAAGAACGGCTCAAGTTAAAAGACAGACCCACCAAGGGCTGGCGAGGACGTGGAGGAACCGGAACTCGCCTGAGGCCAGTGGGCAAGAAAATGGGGCTGCCACGTTGGAAAACCATTTGGCGGTTTCTTAAAAAATAAGGATCCAGCTGTCGCACTCCTAAGTATTTAAGCAGATAAGTGAAAGCACAGGGATGTTCATGCTGCTTCATCTGTAATCGCCCCAACAGGAAACACCCAGATATCCCTCAAGAGGCAAATGGGCCAACAGACGTGGTCATCCATACAGTGGGGTACTGGTCAGCAACAAAGGAGCAAAGGAATTGTTAACACACACAGCAAGGAAGAACCTAAAATAGTACGCTAAGCGAAAGAAGCCAGGACAATAAAAAGGGTGCACGCCATATGATTCCATTCACGTAACTAGAAAATGCAGACTGATCCAAAGAGACAGAAGAGACCAGGGTTGCCCAGAGGAGGGGTGCAGGGGAACTTTTGTGGGGATGGGACTTTTGTTACCTGGGTTGTGGCGACAGTCGTACACGTCAGATTTATCAGCATGCACACATTAAATACATGCCCTTTCCTGTGTGTCATCAGCACTTTAACAAAGCTTCGGAAATGAAAATAAAGGTAAGACGTCTGCTGGCCCTCCCCCGACACCTGGCTGCTTCCAACCATCTCCGTCCCTATGTGTGTCGGAAACTCCAGTGTCCAGAAGGATCATCTAAACATCGGGTGACGCATCCTCTCAGACATGCTGGGAGCCCCTCACGTTTAGCCTGTGCCGCTGAGCACCTGATCGTCCCCAGGACCCACAGGCATTCCCCCTACCAGTGTACCTGCTGCGGGTGACCAGGACACCTCGGCTCTCGAAGCCCCTCCTTGACAAAGCCGACTCGCTGCATCGGACCCACTCTCCAGCCCGACCATCCCCCACCTTGTCAGGGCCACTGACCTTCCCCCGACCATCCCCGGCCTCGTGAGAGCCCTATCTTCTTGCCTCCAGTTACCAAAATGTAGCCAGAGTGATATTCAAAGTGCAAATCTGACCATCAAACTGTTCGATGACCTCAGGACAATCCACACCCCTCACTCTGGCTCAGAAGACCCCCATGCTGGGCCCTGCTGACTCAGAACCTTCCCTCGGGGGCTGTTCCCCCCACACCAGGCTCCCTCGGCACACAATTCCCTCCACCTCGCAGTCCAGGGTCGAGGGGAGAGCCCCCACCAAGTGCCTTGTGGTAACGGGGTGCAGCCACACACCCTGGTCCCCATGACCGCCGAGGCTGTCCTCACAGACCACCTCTCGTCCATACTGAGTACACAAAACGCACCGTGAGAGGACATGCCCTGAGCAAGACTTTTTGCAAAAGTCTCTACAAAATGCAGACAACAAACTACAGGTAAGTCTTAGAGCAGCTTAGAAACCTAGTGACAAGAAAAACATGCCAAGGCTAAAAACCACTAGTTACTTTACTATGAAACTCAGAGAAAGACAGTAGGTTCTCCACCTGAAATATATGTTCAAATATTAACAACCAGCGAAAACAGGAAACAACTGATAAGGCGCAGAAGGCCATTAAATGCTGAAGACAGATGGAAAAGATGCTAAAAATACAGACGGTGTGTTCAGTCAGATTCTCCCTGGGAAAGAGGCCAAATGCTACATTTAAAAAAAATCTGCCCATGCTGGTTATGGAAAAATATGATTTCTGCATGGTCTGCACAGCAGGGTGTTAGAGAATCTATCCTGAGGATATAGAATGGTTAATAATTAAAAAAAAAAGCATTGGGCGTGAAATTTCTTCTCCCAATTTAAGGCAAATAAATTAATTCATGAAATCATGCCCTGTTCGTACTGGTGTTGCAACAGGTTAATAAGACAAGGGAAGCAATTTCCCCAGTACTTAAATTATGTAAGTAAAAGTTCTGATGTGATTTCTGCAAACTGCAGTTAGGAGTGTTAAATATTTATTCCTTGACCTGATTTCTCAAATACCTCCTTCTTACTCATAAACAACCCAGAGATAACTTCAACTTCAGAAACACTATTTTACTAAAGCAGATAAAGAAACACAGTCACTTCTAATCCACGATTTCATTCTGAGAAACTCAGTACATTTACGACATCCAGTAGAAGAGCCGTCACTCAGAAGGCAGTGCACACTTTTGTCCCATGGCTATTCTCTGTAAAGGACCAAGCCGCCAAGAGAAACAGCACTACTCAGACGGGACACTTTAAGAGAAAATGTTCATCTCAAGTTCGTACGCTTGAAACTGTTAACACCTCTTTAAGACATAAGCAGACTTCTCACAATCAGACCCCAAAGCTCCCTCCAGGCCACCCCCAAGCTGTTGCTGTCCCTTTGGATTAGTTTGATTTTCTAAAGTTTTATGTAAATGGAACCATGCCATATACACTCTGTCCAATCAACGTGAAACACACGTTTCAATAACAGTTTCCAATTCCATTTTTAACTTGTCACACACAAACTATATTTACTCTTAGTGGATGTTCCAGGATGAAGGAAAAAAATGGTGGCAACAGACTTTCCACATCGAAATCAGAGACCGTTATATTAATATCGTGATAACTATTAAACCTCACCTTATGACCAGGAAGCAGTTGGATCTGTTACCAACAGCAAAGTAGTCGGCCGTGGTCAAAATATCAATTCCATGAGGGAAAGTGCCCTAATGAAAAAGTGGAAAAAAGAATGAAAATGATTTGAATGAGTAACGGCATTTCCAAAAGCTCAATAATCACATTCACACACATTTACATTTATGCAAAGAGAAAGAGACACGATATAAACTGACAGCTAAAACTATACGCTACTTAACTGTGCTCACTCAAGAGCTTTCCAGTCCAGTGCATTCCTGACCACCCATCTTGGGCTGCACTAAAATTATCTGAACCACCATTAAAATTATTTGAACCATTAAAATATTTAATTTTTTTCAAACAACTCAAACATTGCAATTTGAAAATGTCATAAGAGACCTTTCTTTAAACCACACAACAAAAAAGACATCAAGTTTCAACAGTATTAAAGCCACTGATTCCACCCAACCTGCGCCCCATGTTGCAGAGAGCCCCAGCGCTTGCTCAGAGGAGCAGGCACCTGCCGGGTCTGTGAAACCTGGACGAGAGCCCACCTCCCACCCGGCCGTCCTGAGAATGAAGGAGGCCCCGCGTGGGGGCCTGAGAGCCGACACCTAGCAGCAGACTCTGAAATGGGCAGTCGGGGAGGGGCACCCCCACCCACACCCACAGACACTCTCCCAGCCAAGGCCCAGCCCCCAAGTCTGCAAGTTACTACTGATACCACTGTCTGTAACAATATTCGAAAATCTGCAGACTAAATAAACTGTTTTCTAAAAAGATATAAATGACAAACTCCCAACCAAGGAGTGAAAGGCTTACAGCCCTCAGCCACAGAAGGGATGTGAGGAAGGCTTGGGGGACCGCCCGCCTCTGCCCTCTGGTCCCACAGGGCGTCCTTCCTCACTCCAAGAGCTAGCAATGCCCAGGCCACGAAGGAAGTGGGTGTAAGCTCCCCGCCTGGAAGTGGGTGTAAGCTCCCCTCACGCGCAAAGCAGGCCTGAGTCTGAACTCAGGCATCGATAACCTGCAGCAGCCACACTGCCACGTAGGACAACACACATTTGCTGTTGTGGGAACAATGTCAGAAACAGTAGTCTGGTTCTCAAGCAACATGTAAAAGCCATTTCGTCTCACAACCCAGCTAAATGCAGAGGAGAAACCGCCCCCCATCCCAAGTGGGTAGCCAGGACACTCAAGTTGACCCCGACTGCCCCAAGACACAGAGCCACTCCAGGCTGGTGCTCCTCCTCCGCTCCATCCACCGCCAGAGCCTGCCCCTCTCTAGGCCAGCATTCAGACCCCTCCTAACACCTTCTGTACTCTCCTCCATCCTGGCACCTGACCATCAAAACCTCATATCTCTGTGCAGCAACACTGTGCATAAACATCATCGTCCACACAGCTCTGAGCACACGGGCAGAGCCACCGGGTCCAGTCATGTCCCTGCGAGAAGGGATGAAGTGGACAGAGGTAGCTCGTGTTCCAGCAAGTGTCTCCCAAGGGTTTTGCTGGGAGCTGGGCTGGTAGAGGTGCCGCAAACCTCTACCTCAGGCCACAGCCTGGGCTTGCTGTATTTCACTGTGAGAAAGGAGAAAGGAGCCCACACCTGACAAAGGCACCATGCGGCCCTGCAAGGTGCTGGTCCTGCAGCTGCTGTGTGGCTAAGGCAAGGGCTACGGGCAACGTCCAGAGGTGGCCCAGGACCGGGTCCCACAGAGAACAAGTGCCCACGACTCACGACCAGGACAAAGCACAGTGAGGGGTCAGGGCAGGGGCTCAGCCACCCTGCGCCACAGTTTCCTGAGCTGGAAAAGGGCAGAGGGAAGGCCTACGTGTGAGCACGCCAGCTGCACAATCGGCACTGACCACGAGAGCAGAGTCCTGGTAGTGGCGTTACCAGCAGGGTTAGACACAGAAGCTGCTCATTGCCCCTTAACCAACAGGAGGCCCCTGAGCAGAGACCACCTCCCCCCAGGAGAGACCCTCTTCCCGGGAGTCCAAGGCACTCGGGAAAGAAGGGAGCCCTTTGCCCATTCTGTGGGGGGTGTACAGAGCCATACCAATTCTGGTGTCAGGACCTGAGTCTCCAACAGGCTAGGGTGAGCCTGGACAGAGAAGTCGGTCCCCCAGCCCTGGGCCCTCCACCAAATCCCTCCTGAAAATTTCCCTGTGCAAAAGTCAGCCAAAGGCAGTGTCTCGTGCTTGCACCCCTGGACTCAGAGGACATCCCATCCAGGGGCCATGGACGGCCCCACCTGCCGCAGCCACACTCATTCGCTCTCCTGCTCTGCAGCCTTGGCATCCTCCACCACAAACACATCGTAATAACCGCATCCCAAATCCGTGCATTAAAAATGGTCTGGTGGCATAGGGGTTCAGTTCGCGTGCTCCACTTCAGCAGCCCAGGGTTCACGGGTTTGGATCCCAGGCGCAGACCTACACCGCTCATCAAGCCATGCTGCGGCAGCCATCCCATATACAAAATAGAGGAAGATGGGCACAGATGTTAGCTCAGGGCCAAAAAAACGGTCTGGCCCAAACCCGGGAGTGACGCTCCCTCCCCGCAAGCGCGTCCCTGTTTGCTGTGGCAAGGTCACATCATTCTTCTCCAACATTCCAGCCAAAGTGCAGGACACTGCCGCAGGTAGGCGCGGGCGCACGCTGGGCCCACACAGGGCTGCACTTCTCTCAAAGGTGTGTCCCTTAAACACCCGTGTGGCTTCCCCTGACCCCACACCGCAGTGCACGCTGGCTTTACTATAAACGTCAGGGCACGGAGACAGAGATGAGTTGGGTGGGGGACACGCCCCGGGAAGGTCGGCTCCCAGCTGCTCCTCTAAACTTAGACCACAGCTCGAGGCCTTTCCTGACGTCCACTCCAACCTCCGTCCCCCACACAGGGGACATGACTCAAATCTGACCACGCAGGAACCAAGGCAACCCCGCTCCAGACTGCTCTTGATCTTCTGGACTCGGGGCAGCTCTGGGGCTGGGCTCTGCCAATGGGAGGCTGTGGGAGCTGGAGGCTGGGGCTGGGGGACTTCTCTTCTCCTGGGCTCGAACTTCGGGGGTGAGTTTGGTGCTCCCTCAGTTCAGCTTCCAGCAGGCTCCTTCCTAACCACAGCGGCCACCCTCCCTCCAGGCCTGAACCTTTGCCTGTTTCTTCCTTGTCCAACTCTTGCCTTCGGCCCTGAGCGGCACCGCTTTCTGTACTTGCTGCCTGTCAGAGGTCAGCCGTCTTTTCCCAGGGAACAGCTTTCTTCTGAGTTTTCAGGGCTCCAGGTAGACATGGCCTGAGTGACACCCAAGGACACTAGGTCTCAGCTCTCTCAACGGTTTCAAAGGAACACAAATTCAAAAAGTGCAGGGTGTGGATTTCAGTTCTTTTGACCTTTCCAGATTGCCCTGGCAATCCAAGTTTCATTTGGACTCATTTTGGCATCAGTTTTGGCCTTAACACTGCATTCCAAACTGGACACCTCGCCTCCCCACCAGGTCTACTCCACACGCACGGTCACAGCTCAGCCCCTGCCTATTTGCAGCAGCATGGCCACAAAACCTCCAGCTACGCCGCCCCTCGTGCTGTTCTGTCGCCTTTGAGGAAAGATCAGCAGGTCAGCCACCTGAATGGCCACCCTGACCAAGGCACGCTCCTCACCTCATCATGGCCACCCTCTACAGCCCTGTCCCACCGGCCCTGAGTCCCCACTGACTCCTGTCTCTGCTCCCACCCCTCGTGCTGTGGGACCACTCACCAACAGCGGGCCCACGTGGTGGGAGGCACCTCCCGACTGCCCCCAGCGCCCCACCCTCCAATCTCCTGCTCCCAGCCCAGTGATGAGCTCTGCTGGGCTGGAGGCAAGAACCCAGGGGGGCTTGAGCCCCCAGGAGGATTCAGAATGCCTCCACTGCAGCACAGCCAGAGGGCCCACCAGTCACTGCAGGCTTCTAAGACCCCCACGCGCAGGCAGGAGGTGGAACCGCCTATCACAGCCGGGCCCCCTCCTCAGAGGAGCACAATGTCCCAAGGCAAGCGTGAGAGAAAAGGCAGCGGCTCGCCACAGGAGCACCAACGGCCCAGGCCCTAGGAAGGAGGTTCAGAGCCATGGCTCTCCAAGTGGATCCCAGGATCGTGTTAGAAAACTGCCAGTCCAGGGCACGCCTCCAGGTAGAGAACCTAAAACAGAGGTGCCCCCAGAAGAGTGAAGTGCAAACCAGCACATGTCCCCTGGCTAGCTGCAGAACCCCAGACTGCACTTCCTCCCTGTGCTGTTTCTGGGGGAACTTCCCACCCTGAAGTGAACACAGGCCTCTGGGTTCAAGACAGCGAGGCTGGTTCTGCTTCAAGGATCCCAACAGACACAGGGGCACCTGAAGGGCAGACCTCGGGTGCAGTCCCTGTTGGCACATTCTCCTCCCAAATGTCCAGGCACAAAGTCTGGGAAGTCTTGTGATTTATCCATGGCCTCCATCTCTCAGACACCCACCTTTCCTCTCCTTTCCTCCCTCCTGAGCGAGCCTTCTGCATGGGACTCCCCTCAGGTCCTGCAGCCTGACTCTGTCCCCTAAGTCCCAGAAGCCCATCATCACTTGTCCTGCCACTGTCATCTCCCTCTCTCTTGGCGTGTTCACCTCTCCCCATTCACCCCTTCTGATCAGAGCTCAGCTCATCACCCCCCGAAACATAACCTCAGGTCCATTCTCCATCAGGCTGGCCACAGATCCCGGAAGGGGGCCATCATCATACACAGTGAATAACTAGGGGATAAAGGCCACCGTTCCCAGCAATGGCTGACCGGTGATGAGAGGTTCAGGGCCAGGGGGCACGATGACGCTGGCAAGCATCGAGAGGAGATGTGGGGTTGACAGCTTCTGGAAGCTGGCTCCTACCACACATGGGACAGGCAGGGGTCATGTCTCTGTCACTGTGAAGCCGAGCTCCTCCACACACACCTCTCCAGTGACCACAGGCAACTGCTGAAATCAGGCAGCCCTCAGCAATGCATGAGGCACTGATTTCTGACGCATGGGTAAAATTTCTTACACATTCAAGTTTCTTATAAAACATACTATTAATTGTTTAAAACTTGTGTCAGCACTCACCTGAGTCACGTTATGAGCGAATCGGTGACCAGAAGTCACTGTGTTCAGTATTAGCTTATTCTAGGTAAATTCTTTACCCACATCTGACAAGCAAAAAGATACTAAGTTTGCAGCTTTCAATATTTCTACCTCTAGATCTACAGGAAGTTTTAGGAATCAAGATTTTAAAAAGTGACCATACCTGTCTTCCCACATTCTCCTGGAAAGCAGCCTACGGAACAGAGAGAACAAACAGCAGGTGAGTTAGGGCTGCACTTTGTTGAACATCAGGAGACAGATTCAAAACAAACAAATGACCCATGGCTTCAAGCTCTTAAATAAAAGTCCCCATTGTTGGTGATCAGAGCCTCAAGCCTCATTCTATGTCCTGGTGCTTTTGAAAACCACAATTTAAGAATTCGAGTTTATAAAATCAGGCACATCCTGAAAAGCGGCCTTCAGCTGCTAACACTGAGCTCCACACCAGAGCCTCATTTGAGGCCCTAGACGTAAAAAGGGGAAGAGAGCCAAATCCATTGGTTAAACAAAAGCCCAACCCCAAATCATTATCCTGAGAATTCTGGGACTCCAGGTCACGTGATGGGGAGCCCTGGAATGGCCTGGGCTCCTCATGCCACCAGCCCCAGGAGCTGTCACAGACCGGCGCCAAGTCTTGCACACAGGCCGAGAGCAGGGCTTCTAAGACGGTCAAAATATTAACTTAAACAGAATGAGGTATCTTTGTGTGGACTTCCTTTAAAATGCCTCTCCACTTCCCTGGTGCTCCTTCCTCCTCCACCTCCAACCCCGCCCTGCTTAGGTGTGATGGCTAGATCAGACCAAGCAGGCTGTCCAAGCAGTGACAATGGCAGGGCCTGTGCACAGCAACAGACAATGCCTCCTTTCCCATTTATCGGCCAGCTGGTGCCTCCGACTTAGCTCTCCCCAAGCAGCCAGGGCTCAGAGCTGCCCAGGCAGCTGGAGACATGGGACACCAGCGATCACAAGATGCCAAGTGCAGCTGCACAGCTGCCACCTCGTCGCCACATGCCATCAGCATGTGACGGGTCAGAGGGCAGAAATCAAGGCAGCGATGGCTTCAGGGAACACCCCAGGAGGGGCATCCCCCTACCTGCAGATGCCAAAACCTTGCCCTGCGCCCACCACCTCTTTTGCACAGAGTAACCCCATCTGCGGGCAAGCGCACGGGCCCAGGCCCTCCCAACCTCAGTAACCATCACCTGCAAGCAGGGGTGACCCGGCACACAGCATGAAACGTGAGCACAAACAAGAGCCAAAACGGGCAAAGCGCATCTTGATCTGGGGAGGCGGCTTCACAGTAAGAGAAGTGTTATTCCCAGTTACTAGGGACTCAATCCTTACACTTTCAAATGAGCTTCAAACAAATGCATCTTCTACTTTTCACGGTTTCAATTTTGCATCTACTGGGAAAGCAGGGGTACACTTAGACGGTGTTCAGTGCAAAGAATTTCCCCTTAATTTTAAAGATTTTATTTATTTTATTTTTTCCCCCCAAAGCCCCAGTGGATAGTTGTATGTCGTAGCTGCACATCCTTCTAGTTGCTGTATGCGGGACTCGGCCTCAGGATGAACGGAGAAGTGGTGCCTCGATGCCCACCCGGGATCCGAACCCGGGCCACCAGCATCGCAGCGCGCGCACTTAACCACCAAGCCACAGGGCCGGCCCTACCCTTAATTTTAAAGAATTTTAATTTTAACTTGAAAAAGAAAAAAAATATTTCTATCGTTGTATTTCACCTCTTCCCCAGGGTTCATAAAGGGATCAGCGGTTTGATTTTTGTTACTGCTTTCCATAAAAATGTCTTACATTACAGTAAACAGAAAATATAAAAGTTAATTTTTAAGTACAGATTTAACAAAAGATTCTCACTGTATTTCAGAGTCTTACAATTCCTGCCTGTGGGTTAAAATCAGGGCAAAACTATGAAGACTTCTCAAGGAATCCCGGGGCTTTCTACTGAAGCTGATGACAAAAGAGAAACTACAGGAACCCAGAGGGGGTTCTGAGCTCTCCTGGCAAACTCCTGAAACACGCAAGTCTTGAAAGGGCCTGCGGCAGAGCAGGACTCATCTCCTTCCTATCTCAGGACACGGAGAGAGGCAGGCTGTCAGAAGCCATCAATGACCAGGAGACCCTCTAATTGGGAGGGTTAGAGAGAGGAGGCAGCGCTGACCCCTGGCCCTACAGCATCCGTTCCTAAGATAGACATCTGCTGAGCACCCACCGCGTGTCACCAACCTTGCCAGGCATGGGTGGCTGAGGAGGAAACGGAGGGCCGGCCTCTAGGCACATGAGCTGCCACTGAAACCAGATGGTGAAAAGGCCCAGAACCAACTTGGAAACACCTCGTGGTGATGTGCAACAGAAAACAATGGAACAAGTGGCAGATGGGGCGTCCTCCAACATCATATCACTGCACTTAGATGAAACAGAGAAATGCCTTCACTAAAGAGAAAAGCAGAAAAGCTGGAAAGACCTCTAGCAAGTAAAGAAATTAACTTAATAATTTAAAATATTTCCCAAGAAACAAAAAACAAAATAGGCCTAGATGGGTTCACTGGTGATTTCTACCAAACATTTAAAGTGGAAACAAACAAGAAGAGGCAAGAACACTCTCAACTCCTTCCATGGGTCCAAATTACCCTAATTCCAAAGCCAGACAAAATATCACAACAAATGAAAACTACAGACCAATATCCCTTACGAATACAGACTCAAAAATTCTCAACAAAACTTTGGCAAACCAAATCCAGCAACATATGAAAAAGGATTATACCAGGTCAAGTGGCATTTATCCCAGGGATGCAAGGTCAGTTTACTATCTGAAAATCAATATAATACACCACATTAACAGAATAAAGGACAAAAACCACATGACCATCTCAAAATCTAACATCCTTTTGTGATGATAAAAAAAGGGGGGGCTTGCTCTGTGGCATAACAGTTAAGTTTGGTGTGCTCTGCTTCAGCAGCCCAGGTTCATAGGTTTGGATCCCAGGCGTGGACCTATTCCACTCACCAAGCCATGCTGTGGTGGCGACTCACATACAAAATAGAGGAAGATGGGCACAGATGTTAGCTCAGAGCGAATCTCCCTCAAGCAAAAAAAAAAAAACGAGAAGGATTGGCAACAGATGTTAGCGCAGGGTGAATCTTCCTCAGCACAAGAAAAACTCCCAACAAACTAGCAGAACTTCCTCAACTTGCTAAAGGGTATTTACGAAAAACTCACAGCTAACATCGTACTTGATGGTGAAACAATGAATGTTGTCCTGAGATTGGGAACAAGGCAAGGATGTCCACTCTCACCACTTCTACTTAGTAGTATACTGGCAGCTCATCTTACCAGTGCAGTCAGGCAAGAAAAGAAATAAAAGGAATCAAGACTGGAAATGAAAAAGTAAACTTTTCTTTATTCACAAATGACAAGATCCTGTACGTAGAAAACTATAAGGAATGCACACACGCCCCACAACCAGACCTGATAAACAAGTTCAAACAAACGAAGAACAGAGTGAAGTCTCTTCCATTTTCCACATCTTCCTCCTAACAGAGCCCAGCTCTGAGTGTGGCAGCAGCTGGCCATGTCCACCTCAGAGTCACCGCGATGCACAACCTCAGGGAACCTTCGTGAACAGCCCTGGGAACCACGAGTCCACATCCCACAGGCCCTCACGTGGTGCTGGGGGCTCTGCAAAGCGTGTGAAGAGGGGTGACAGCCCTGGGGCAGGCTCTTCTGCCCCTGAGAACAGAAGCCGTGGCCTGAGAAGGGCAGAGCCGAAAGAACTATGACCCTGGTGCTGCCATCCAGGCCCCAGGCTGCCCCCGCCTGGCCTCCTTCCTGTGGGAGAGCAACAAGCCGTCATAGGCCTAGGCCGCGTTTCCCGGGATTTCTGTAGAAGCAGCGAGGTCGAACAGTACTGATGCAGGAAGTGCCCACCCCATTTTAACAACCACTCACATGGGCACCTCGCCAGGATAGCCACACCACCGCCCTCCACCTGTCCTCTCCCACCTAACCAGTCCTTCCCTGGCCGCCCCAGCCACTCCAGCCTGCGCTGTCCACCCTCACCTCTGAGTCTGAAGGCCCTGAGCTTGAGTGTGACAGTAACGACCCCAAAATGTGTCCCCATGTTGGCCTGGCTGCCTCTGAGGGCACGGGATCATCCCCAGCATAATGCTCATTCTCCAATTTTCATGGTGGCACCTCATCTGCTGGAGGTGAGAACACACCTGTGCGTTCTGTCATCAATTCTTATTTCTCATCTCACCTTTGACCTCGCCAGGCACAAGTTACACAGCGTCTCCTGCAAACCTAATTTTTAAATCTGCACCAACCTCTTCAGACTCTCCTCTACAAGCTTCTTTCTGTTAATTTTTTTAAAACCTTACTGACATATAACATACATACAGAAAAGTGCACAAATCGTCAATGTGCAGTTCAACAAATGATCACAAAGTGATGATTTTCCAGGTTCTTCCATACAGACACCTCAACCTTGTCTGTCTCACAAACTCACACAACCTCTACCTGGACCTCACGGGTTCCTGAGGCACAGCTGCTTCACTCACCTTCTACCACCAAACCCCCAACGTGTGTCCACTCCTCTCCTGGCTCCTAAAAACCCCCTTTCAGGGGCTGGCCCCGTGGCATAGCGGTTAAGTGCGCGTGCTCTCCTGCTGGCTGCCCCGGTTCGGATCCCGGGTGCGCACTGATGCGCTGCTTGTCAGGCCATGCTGTGGTGGCGTCCCATATAAAGTGGAGGAAGATGGGCACGGATGTTAGCTCAGGGCCAGTCTTCCTCAGCAAAAAGAGGAGGATTGGCAGATGTTAGCTCAGGGCTGATCTTCCTCACAAAAAAAAAAAAAAGAAAAGAAAAACCCCCTTTCAGCCTCCAAGCCTGTGAGCAGAGTGGTCCCAAGCCAGGCCCTCTCTGACTCACTTGCCCATCCAGCTGGGGCTCCACCACTCCCGAGACAGGAAAATCTGCCTCCCTGTGATGTGGTGGAGAGGGCAATCCTCTCAGACTTTCGATCTGACCCCTCTGGGCGCCCTCTCTATCCACAGAAGAGTTCATGTCACATCAAACGAAATCCACCGCACCCCCCCCCCCCGTCTCTGCCAACACTGTGGGCTTCAGAAAATCCTCACCAGGTCCCAGCACGCCTTCAGCCTGCCTCTTGACTTGGCCCTTGCCTTCAGCTGGTCTCCTAGTCTGATGGCCGCAGCAGCCCGGGCACGCCCCCAGCAGGCTCCGGCTAAGCCTGACCTATGCCCCAGAGGGCACCAGGGCCCTCCCGGCTTCATCTTGCCCACCGCCCACAGCCAGCCTCTCCCCTGCATCTTTCTCAAGTGCTGCCTTTGTGTCCATTCTCGACCTCTTAGAGCTTGTGCAGCTGCTTGTCTGAATCTACAACTGAGGCTCTCGTCTTCAGACGGGTCTGCCCTGTCAGCTGCCAAGCTCTCTGCAGAACCAGGGTCCACCATTCAAGGTACTCAGTCCCTGCTTCCAGTCCCTCACAACCTACACCAGCCCATGAGTCTGAGCCTCATCTAAGCAACTGCCCATCAAGAAGACGGCCAAGCATGAAGCCGGAGCACAGCCATTGACATCTCCAGAGCATCCTAGGGACACAGCCCTGCAGCCACCACCTCTCAGTGGCGCCCAGGGGAACCGCCCGAAGCAGAGCTCAGGGCCACAGCCTCACTCTGTTGGAGGAGCAGTGAGGTCAGCCGTGCGGAGGCTCCTGGCCAGCGCCTTTCACACGCAACTGTGGAGCCTGCGAAAAGCTCTTTGCATCCAGAATCCACCCCAACGTGACCGGGCTCTGGGGGGCCAGGCACTGGTGTTCAAACACATCAAGCCTTGCTGGGGCCGCCAGACACATCCAGTGAGGCCTTGGGCCGAGTGAAGTGACCACATGAAGCTGAGCTGTCCTCTGCTCAGTGACGGCTCCTCCTGAGGCTTGGAGCCGCCTGGTCTGCATCACACCAGGTCTTGCTCACAGAACCCACCTTCTTCTCCTTCTTCAGAGCTCAGGCCACCTGGAGCTGTGTCTGCTCATCCACCTACAATGCTCCAGAGATAGCTGCAGTTCTCAGCATGCTTGGAGTGGGAGCATTTGATCCTGACCACCCTTCCCAGGCTAAGACCACCCCCATCCCCAGGAAACCCAGAGGACGGGAACTGCGCTCCATCGTGTGGCTTCCCCAGGAGCCGCCCTCAACGGTTCCCTCACCAGCTCCCCTCGTGTTGCTCCTGCTGACAAGTAAGCTGCTGGGTGGCAAGGGGCAGTGTTGGGGAGAGCATGCAGCTCAGCTGGGCAGAGCATCACAGTTCAGCACCCACCCCACACTGGCACGAAAAAGAACAAAACAGGGAAACTTACAGAGGCTGCTCTCCTGCAGGTTACGTTGCGGTCAAACACTGCAGCAATCACCAGTGCACTGTGAAAAAGAGGGAAAACGATTAAATTAAAAGGAAATCTGCCAAAGAACACAGACCCTGGGACACTGACGAGAGAGCCTTGTCTTTCACTTGCTTGTTCCTGACTCCTCGCTCGTTGGCCGCTCACCGCACACTCAAGGCTCTCGAGAGACGCTCAAGAGGGAGCTGAAGGTGGCCGCCCCTGAGGCTGACAAGAGCCACGTGACGGGGCACACCTGAGTGCCAGTGAAGTCACAGGGAGAAGAGCTGCCATGCATGAGGCCTCGGGGGGCAGACATGTTCAGCCTGCTCTGGGGGGCATCTGACAGAAGCAGGGTGCCCCAGAGGCTGGGAACTGGCAGCATGGTGGGGGCGGGGAACAGGGCTGACACAGACACCCCAGGGCTAAGGCAAGAGCCTTGCTTCGTGGACAATAAGCACAAACAGAAACCACGGGCAGCAGCGGAGCCCAGAGAGGCCTCCGGGAGCAACTACCCCAGAAACGGCCTGGCCAAGTACAGAAAACAGCTCTCAGGGGTCACGCAAAGTCCTACAGATGGCATGTCCCCCCTCCAAGCCAAACCATGACCACACTCAGAAAGAAAGAAGCCTTTCCAAACTGATAACATTCATCAGGCTTCATTTAAAACCTCTCTTCGTCAGATCCTCACATTTAACTGTTATGGATAAACCAGAAAGCACTCCTTTGACTTTGCAGGGCTTTGGTGACAACAGAAATCAAAGGATTGGGGCAGGTATAGAGACAAGATGTTGTTTCTCAATACCACTTGAGAATCTGCATCTCATATCAGCCTACAGAGAAAATGTTTTGAAAAAGGGTATTTCAAGACACACAGAGGTCACCCCAAAGGGATGTCGCCCGCCTGCCCGACAGCAGGGGGCCTGACACCACCCTCACTCCTGTTTCTACATCTTGAACTTCTTCCTCCCACCAAATTCTTGGGATGTTCCACTAGCACGTCCACATTTTCCAGTTCTTCAGCCTAAACAACAATAAATAATAAAGCTGACCCCTCCAGCTGCACCGTGCCTGTGGATACCCCTATGTGGGGCAGATTAATGCTCCCTCCCAAAGCTGTCCAGGTGCTGTGAATGTGATACATTACCTGGCAAAGGGGAGTTAATGCTGGGGACACAATTAGGTTTGCTGATCAACGGACCTCGCGATAGGGAGATTATCCCAGTAGACCCGGTGTAATCACAAAGGTTCTTAGAAATGGGAGCACGAGGCGGGAGAGGGAGAACCAGACAGACACAGCTTGAGAGGGACTCAGCCCACAGCTGCTGGCTTTGAAGGTGGAGGAAGGGCCACGAGCCAAGGAGTGCGGCAGCCTCTGGAAGCTGGAAAAGGCGGGACTCGGCTTCTCCCCCGAACCAGCCCAGGCCACACCTTGGTTCCAGCCCAGTGAGACCTGTGTCTGGATGGACCCTATTATCATTCCTTCCACTAGTTGAAGCTGAGAGTAATTTCAGCAAAACTCTATTAACAGAAAGTTATTCCCTCTTCCTCTCTCAACTCTTTACTATATTATAAACTATAGCCAAAAAGAGATTTAAAAAAACCAGGCTTAAAACTAAAGGAAATTCACCTTACTTTACCAGGAACATTTTAAAATTAATTGATTCTATTTCAACGTCATAATGGCTTTTGTTAACAAAATATCAGAAATCATTAAACTGATCAAGATATGTATTAATGTGATCTTATAATAACTATATAACTATTGTTCTTAAAAAGTATTTGGTGTTTCATTCTAAATATATTCTCAGAATTAATGGAAACTGAAGTATTACATATTAATAAGAGCCTCTTTTTTTAATCCATAAGATCATATCTAGGAATATCTAGGAAAAGATATTAACCAAGAATTTCTGCTTTCCTTTAATATCCGACAAGAAAAATGTGGACTTATATCTTTATTGAGTCTGAGTCCAGGCAATACTACCAAAAGTTCACATTTTACACTGAATTCTTGAAATTTCCTGTCAATTTATTTGTCCTAAATTACAATTTTTAAATTATGGAACACTAATTAATGAGGAGAGATGGAAAAAATATAGAAAAGAAACTTAAAATCACCTGCCATCCTACAAGCTGGCCATAACCCCTTTAAGGTCACTGCTAAGTTAAGAGTCAATTTAAACAACTCTTCTAAGGTAGCCAGACCAGGAGCACCCCTGATGAGGCCCAAGGCCCCTCGGACTCCCAGCCACCTGTCTATGGACACTCTGACCCTGCCCAGGGCAGGCTGAGTCCAATTTCAACCAAGCTTTTCTTGATGCAGCCATAGCCACTAAGAAAAGTCACAAGTTGTGTTCTGTGCCACCCACACTGCACAGGGGAGGTCTGCCAAGCAGTGCAAGTCGCCAGGTGAGCCCATTTGAGAGTGAACCTGCTCTGCGGAACCAAATGAAGACAGCTGAGCTTTGAGCCTTTAAGTTCATGTTGCAACTGAGCCAAAATATGAACAGAAGACTGTGCTGGAGGTTTGTTTCTAGTTTTGTCGTGTCTGTGTATTACTTCCCTTCCTTCCAGCCCACTCCCCTGAAACCACAGCTGGCAGCCACACGGAAGGGGCTTCGTGCTCTTTCTCACACGCTGTCCTGCATCCGGGCAGCTCCACACAGTTACCTGTTAGTTACCTGAGGGGCCCAGGCCGAGCTCCGGCCGCCCCCAACTGCAGAGCTCCTCTCACAGCGACAACCATGTGAAACCATGCTCACACTCACCTCCCGGCACCCCACCTCTGTGTTCAGCCTCAGGTAGGTCTGTGGAAGCCCAGTGCCTCTAACTGGTGGGGCAGCTGCGGTGGGGCCAGCGCACGTGTCTCAGTCCTTGTGTTTACTGGCCACAGAGCAATAATTCTTAAAGACACTATGTGGGAGCCCCAGAAGGGGCTCTGTTTCTGAGTAACATGGAGCAGAAACAAATGTGGATAGCAAGCAGTGGTCTACCTCTGCTGTCCTCTTTACAGCAAGCCCACACTGCCATGCAGGCACAGGAAGCAGACCTCCCACACAGCTCGCATGGACGCGGGCAAGGCTGCCCACACGGGCCACACACACAGGCGCAGCTCGCCCTCAGGGCAGCTTCTGAGAGGACTGCCACGGATGTAGCCTGCACACCTGACCACAGGGCACTCAGATGGTCTCACCCACTTCAATCAGGTGGGCTTTTGTATTCACAAGTAAATGGCTTAAAATATTTACTCCTTTATCCATATTTACCAAACCTCACAGAAAGTAGTATGACAAATATAACAATGCCACTCACAAAACACAGCTTTTAAGAAGTATAGATTCTCTTTTTTGAGCAAGATTGGCCCTGGGGTAACATCTGTTGCCAATCTTCCTCCTTTTTTCCGTTTTTTCTCCCCAAAGCCCCAGTAGATAGTTCTATGTCATAGTTGTACATCCTTCTAGTTGCTCTATGTGGGACGCCACCTCAGCATGGCTTGATGAGCAGTGTGAGGTCCGTACCGGGATGCGAACTCGCGAACCCTGGGCCACAAAAGCAGAACGCACAAACTTAACTGCTGAGCCACTTGTTGGGCCAGCCCTAACAAATGTAGACTCTTAATTCAACAAAGCAACTGTGTACATACCTACAAATGTGACAGGTTTTTAATACTGTTTGATTTGGACTAAATAAAAAAAAAACTACTCTAATTTCACACTTTCAGAACAAAACTTGCTTATCTAGAAATACCAGTGTATTTCAATTAAAACAAGGCATGACAATATTGATGAAATATAATACAAAAGCTGCCACAGGCCTCCGATGTCCCTTGTGCCTCTGAAGTTCTTCTCAGCAAGACGAGGCTGAGTGTGAGTCAAGATTTTCATCTCACATTTCACAGTCGGGCTGTGAAGACGGCAACGCAGGCCTGTCTGTTGGGCTGGGGCGCGTCTCAGGTGTCCTCCCGTTTGCTTTCACTCAGGAGTTTATGCCATACTTCAGGTTTCCCAACACAGAGAAATGGTCTGTGTCAAACAGAAAGGGACTTTCTTTCCTGTCCGAGTCGGGGGAGCTGCGTGCCTCGACCTGCCCCGGCCTGCCCGACCTCCAGGCTCCTGGTTTTTAGCAGGTTCAGCAAAGAGCAGGTCTTCCCCCAAACTCAATCTTTGTTAATTGGTATAATATTTTATAGCAATAAAAAGAAAAATATACTGTTTTTACCTTAAATAACACTAATCCAGTCATTTCAAAGCCAAATTTTTTTAAATATCAGACTAAATATTTACCATCCATTCACATTGTTTGAAAGCTGCAAATCACATTGTTTTTCGAGTAAAATGTAAGACCTGCCTATGGCTGAATTTTCCTTCCCTAAATCATGAGAATCAAACCTCACACCAGTTAACACAATGATAAAACATAAGAACTTTTTAAAGACCTTTAAGTCACAGCAGAGCTAAAATGGAGGCTGAGAGATTTACCAGGGGACAGACAGGGACACTCTGGTCAGTAACTGCCACTCCACTTTTCTTGAAAAACAGCAGGGTACCTTCCCTCTGGAAGTCTGCCACTGACAAACGCTGAGTGAGAACAAGATGTAGCTTTGAGCAATGCTGGCCATTTCCTGATTTTTCAGGACAGTCTTGCCCTCGAGGAGGAGATCTGGGAGCCAATCCCCAGGCTGCCCACGCTGCTCTGCTCGCAGGGCTTGCTCTGCAGGCTGAGAGTGTGCGCTGCCCCCGGCGCAGGAGGGGCCCTGCAGGGCTGATGTCAACAGGAGCTCGGCTTACAAAAGAGTTTCAGGTGAGGAAATCGGTAGAAGGTGACGGCCAACGCACAAGCTGGCAAGAGCACGGGTTCATTTTTTTTTCCTTTTTGCAAATTAGCTTTTGATTACTGGTGAGAAGATATTTTCTAGATAATGCACAACCATTCCGTACCATTTGAACTTTATGTGTTTCATTGTTCCTAACCTACACTTGGTTCTTCAGGAAGCCCTATTTACTGTTACACAAAATAATTATTCTAGCCCTTAATCTGTCTGTGTACAATTAGGAAATACAGGTTTTCAAAACCGACCAACACTAATTCAAAATATGATTAAATTTACCTAAAAACTTCCTTTTCAATATTTATAAAACAGAGAGGATCGGTACATATTCAGATGGTAAGGTGAAGAACAGTTCCTCCAAGTTCCTTTAGGAAAAGGAAGGAGCTGGCCCTGAGTTCACCCCCTAACGGGCTGTATGAGGAGGCGAATGGCCACAGTCCGACCCTCCCTCTGTGTGGGCACCCTTGCTGAGCCCAGTCGTGCCTTCTCATTATTGGTACTGCCCTGCTTCCCTTCATCAGACATTTCTATTTCATTTACACAATTACATTTTGATCTCAACTGTCTACCTTTGCAGGATCCACTAAAGAGTTTGTGAAAGTATAAAAATATCAAGATTTTATCATGTGCCAGGATTAACAGGCTTAAAAGCTGACAATTAAAATGTGGTCACTTATTACAAACCAAGGAAGGCAGATCTCGAAGGACACACCCCAACCGATACTCCTGGGGCAGCGTCCTCCAGGCTCACCTGGCACCCATGACTCACCTCCCAGCCCCCTCCCCGCCCCCTGTGCCTGCAGTCTGGATGGACCAGGAAGGGCTGGTGCACAGGCTCCCTCAGAACCTGCCAAACTGGACTGAGAAGCCTGCCAGCACGGCTCCAAAAGGCACTTGCTGACCCGATCCTGGGATGGGCGCGGGGAGAGGGGACAAGAGGGGCCTTTTAAGCAGAAACTCCATGAGGCTACTTACTCTGGGGTTAATTAGGAGAAATCAGAAAGGCTCTGAAGCAGGAGCCTCAGAGCTCCCCTGCCAGCTGGTGGTTTCGGGGTGTGACTCGCAGTAAACTCATGAGCAACCCTTGGGCATGCCCAGGAAGTCAAGGGAATGTAACCTCCACCAAGATCAAAGGACCCAAGGAGAACCCAATGAGCTTCTGCAGACAGACGCTGGCCACCACCACACAGTAACTGTTCTCTGGTCCCTCAGGCTCAATAAACGTCCTAAAATGAGTCCCAGCTCAGAAAGGTCAGTGTTCTGAACACCCACCTCCTCACCTCCCATCACAGTCCAGACAGAAGCTGCACTTACCAGACACACCAGCAGGTGGGGGGGTCCCCTGTAGATCTCCACAAGACCCCACATGGAACCCCCACAGGATGGCTCGGCCCTGCCCTCTCAACTACAAGCAGATCTGCAAAGTCACTTTCACTCTGACACGGGCCGCCTGCACAGACCCGCACAGCACAGTCATGGGCCTCATCAGAGCCCTCTCCCATGTGCCCTCCCCCAGAAAGCAAAGCACAGGGCAGGACCCTCTCACTGGCGGAGCCAGCTCAGTGGGCCCCAAACCTGTCTTTCCCTTTCTAGATAGTGGAGCAGTGCGCCTCCAGCCTCCGTGAAAACTCAATCCACTTCATGCTGTGATGCACACCTCTGACACCAAGGGCAGCTCAGTCAGGTCACGGTGCAGCCTGGACGGCAGGCGTGTGTCGAAGGGTCCCTGGGGCACATGATCACCCACGCCTGGAGTCCAGAGAATCAAGTGCCATCGACTTTCACACCCACGTGATGCTAAGGCCAGCTCCATGCTGATCAGCAACTCCTCATAGATGGGTGTTTCAACTCATAGATGGTGTAACAACTCACAGATGGGTGTTTCACTTTATAAGTCACTGTGGAGGTTGGTGTTGCTATGGTAAGTTCTGAAGTTGCAGAAGCAGAGGTTAAACAAGTCTCCCTTCCAGAAGCCCAGCGCCTGGGTGACAACCCCTCTCTCCAGCCCACATGCACCAGTGGGGATGTTGGGGGTTGGAACCATTCGCCTGTATCATCTCTCTCCAAGTTGGCAGCAAGGTCTTGTGACTCTGACACTCACACCTCTGGTGTGATAAGATGCTTTCCCCAAAGGAGAGAACTAACTGCGTGAGTTGATGGCCCCTCCCTTGCAAGCCGGCTCGGGATGTGCGGGGCTCCTGCTCCCCAGGTGAGCGAAGCCTTACTCCACTCCAGTCACCTCTGCCGACCCTTCAGCCTGTGGCCCTGCTCCTCCCATCAGGCTGTACCATGGAGGTCCCCAGAGGAAGGAGAAGCACAGATTCCCACCAAGTCTATAGCTCTCAGACAAATGTGAAACTGAAAAGGAACTGTGTCAGGCCTATTTTCACTTTGAAATGAGAATGACCATTTAAGGAGCCAGATTCCCTTGAAACAGTCGCATGTCTGCTTCACAGCAGGTTGTCAGAGATGCAGCACCGTGCCATGGTGCAGATCTGGGCCCGGGCATCCGCCTCAGCACCAGGCTCGATCGGCACCATCAACTGCAAGACTCTGGGCAAGTGACCTCCGAGCTCTGTCCCCCACTTTGTCATCAGTGGAAGGGGAATAACCCAGCACCTACCCACCTCACAGCATCTCTGTGGAAACTGAATGAGACGTAGCAATCTAAAGAAGTTTTGGGACTGTCCTGGGACTGCTGATATAAACGAGAAAAATACATTTTTTTGCCTTCATTCTCTAGTTACAGAAGCAACTTTCAAAAAGTTGAGGAGCTGGACAAGAAAGCAGAGGAAGTCCCATCCCTAAAGCCATGTCAAACAACAAACACAGCCAGCTCGTGTCTACAGAACAATGGGAGAGTGGAACGCACACCTGCGGGCAGGGCCCTAGGAGCCGGCAGAGTCTCCCCAGGCAGCCCGGCCGGCCCTCGCTCTCGCCGTTTCTACCCGAGCTGCTCCCTGAAAAACACGAGCAGCCAGGGGCCTACGAGGAGGAGTGAAGGAGGAGGCGCAGGCAGCCTGGTCTCAGCCACCCTGGGCCTTCCTGGCCTCAAGCCAGCTGTTATCCACGACCACATCTGCACAAGACCACTGCTCTCTCACTCCGCCCTTCCCCTCCCAAGCGTGGACAAGACAGCAAGAGTCAGGCATCTTTACGACTTCCTGGGAAGAACTTTATCTCCTTGAACAGGGCTCAGAATCCTCGGGATCCTCTGTAGCGCTGGCTTTGATGTAAGTCAAGATTGAGAGATATAGGCCCAGGCTGCATGTCCTGGTCAGTAAACAGGCCTGAGGTCCCTCTCCCGACGCTAGAAATCCCTGGTGAGATGAAACACCATGAAGAATAAAATGACGCTCTAGTCCCCGGTAAGCCCATCCTGGAGAAGCTGCAGGAGCCGGAGACCCTCGGCTGCTCTTTCACCACGTGCTGCTGGCTACGCAGAACCGGCAGCTGTTGCTGGTGCTCAGGAATGTCTGGGTGGAGGACCTAGCACACCCCGGCTGGAGGAAGTGAGGGCTTCCAGGGCAGAGTGGGGCCGTGCGGCCGGTTTAAGGCCGGCGGGTCTCACGCTCTCCTCAGGCATCTCGCACAGAGCTCAGGGTGGCATCTCCTCAAGAGCAGTGGGACGTGCTTCCACAACCAGAGCCTGATTCTGAAATCCGTTTCCTAGTAAAAGTCGTCAGGTAAGTGTTACGTGCCATGATTAACGCAGAGGCGGCCACCGTGCTCAGCACCTTCCTTTAACTACTTAATAAACAAGAAACAGAGACCTGACCTTCTTCAAGTCAAAGGAACTTATTCAGTACAAAAATTTAAAATTTACTACACTGGGGACACATTTGTTTTGCATTTTTCACAAGCAAAAAAATATCAGATCCTAAAAATGACGTGTGACGGCACGGGTGCCCAGACACCTTTGAGGGGCTCAGCTGGGCACACACATCGAAAACCGGATAGCCAAGGAGCCCCGACATGTGCTCAGGCGCCCAGGCCTGCCGCAATCTGCACGGGGTTCCAGTGGGGTCCCGGGCCTGCTGGTTTCAGTTCTTTCTCCAGGAACCAGAGAAGATAAACTTTTTCCTACCTCACAAAGCTGTTCTGAAGAGCGTCGATTTTCATTTCAGAGGTGTTGACGATAAAGCGTGCTAGTCAATGTTGTCACAAGTGGATACCCAAGTCCATAACAGTTAGAAGACTGAGGCTGTACAACATCTAGTCCCTCAACAAGAATGTGAAGGCTTCATTTCCCAGCATTCCAGAGCCTTCCCGAGGAACTCCTTCAAAGGTGAAAGCTGTGACATCTGAATTTCCAGAATTTATCTCTCAGTAGAACACACAGACTCACCTGATGGATTCACGTGCCCGCCACCTGTGTTTCTTCCTCAACCTCCAAGACGCCAATTACCTTTATCTTAAGGATCTGCTAACCATAGGCCAGCCAAAGCCTCCAGAACATTCATCCTAAATACTTCTGGTTTGAACTGCTTACCCACGAAAAAGGACTCTAATCCTAAGCTGCTTCTTTTTTATAGATCATCCTTTAAAATTATATAATTAGCTCATGAGCACCTATTTCTGGCACATCACTTAGGGGAAAGGCCCCGTGCTGGCTGCTTCTCACAGACACTGCCACCAGGAGGACCCAATCCAGGGACCACAACAGATGTGGATCAATCCTGCCATGATCCTAACAGGCTTTACCTCGAAATCTCGGCCACGAAGGGCTTCAGCTCCTGCGGCTCGTAGGCACGTGCGAAGGCCCAGCAGACGTAGCAGGCAGCATCCCTGACGTTGGCACCCACACTGCAGGCACCCCGCTTCTCCTCGTAGGTCAGCGCCTTCAGGATCACAGCGACAACTGGGCACAGGAGACAAAAACCGTGAGGATGGGACTGTGGAGGCAGCACGTGCAGTTCAAAGCAACAGCTTCGATTGTCCTAACACAACTCTGTCTGCACCTCGCAGCAAACAGAGGCAGGTACAATGGATACGTACTTCAACCCAAAGACATTCTGTAAAAGTTATGACCTTGTCAGAAAGAAAACATCTGGAAGGGGCCGGCCCCGTGGCTTAGCGGTTAAGTGCGCGAGCTCTGCTACGAGCGGCCCGGGTTCGGATCCCAGGCGCACACTGACGCACCGCTTCTCCGGCCATGCTGAGGCCGCGTCCCACATACAGCAACTAGAAGGATGTGCAACTATGACATACAACTATCTGCTGGGGCTTTGGGGGGGAAAAAAAAAAAGGAGGAGGATTGGCCATAGATGTTAGCTCAGAGCCGGTCTTCCTCAGCAAAAAGAGGAGGATTGGCATGGATGTTAGCTCAGGGCTGATCTTCCTCACCAAAAACAAACAAACAAACAAAAAAAAACATTTGGGAGGACAGAAGTCCACCAACTCAAATCAGGTGAAAACGTTTTTTTAAAAGTTGCCCCCAAATTACATGAAGAAGTGAAAGTTCCCACCGAGGCAGGGAAATGCCCAGCAAAAGGACACTGGTGAGTCCAAGGAGGTTCACAGATCGCAGGCCACCAGGCAGCGAGCAAAGAGAAGGCCACAGCTCAGCGGGGCAGGAGGAGGAGCAACGTCACTGGGGACACTTCAGAGAGGAAAGAGCATCTGAGCCCAGAGGACGCGAGCCCTGCAGGCTCATTTCACAGACCGTAAGAGACAGATCAGCTCCTGATTCTGGCCAGAAGCAGTCCCCACCTGAGGAGCAACCTCAGGAGGAGAGGAGGTGTCTCCCTCTGCGTAGAGGCATCTGTAACCGTGGGGAGTTCTAGAACTGAGAACGAAGATGATAAAGTAAGTGAAGCCCATGGTTACTCCTGTGTTAACTTTAGGAATAATCTAGGTATGTTTAATTATCTAACATATCTGTAATATTTGGGGTAATTTGAAGTACATAATGGATTATCCTTCTGGTCCATTTGAAAATGTCTAATTGAGTAATTTAACATTGCACATGTGATTGATGATACAAAGGTATGAGAGAATTTTAAGACACATAGTGAGAGTATTGGAATGTTTAAAGGAGCTAAAACTTTACCCTATTTATCTGTTAAACTTAGATTCGTGTATTTCAAGTACTTGGGAAGGGTTTGCTTATTAGAGACATGTAAATTACTTAAAAACAAAATAAAATATATTCATGCATAGGGTTTAAAAAGTATGAGAGAATTGAATTAATTTTATAAATGAACCACAATTTTTAAAAGCCTCTTAAAATGACTATAATAGGAAAATGTGATGAAAAAAAGCTTAAGAAAAATTTTTTGTTTGTTTTTTTGAGGAAGATTGGCCCTGAGCTAACTTCTGTTGCCAGCCTTCCTTTTTCTCTTTTTTCTCCCCACAGCCCCAGTACATAGTTGAATATCCTAGTTGTAGGTCCCTCTAGTTCCTCCATGTGGGACGCCACCTCAGCATGGCTTGATGAGCAGTGCATAGGTCCGCACTTGGGATCCAAACCTGCAAACCCCGGGCCACTGAAGCAGAGCGAACGAACCCAACCGCTGCGCCACCGGGCCTGCCCCAGAAAACTTTTTAATCTGCAATCCAAAGACAGAATATAAATTTTTTAAAAGTCACACTAAATGGAATTTTCTGAAAGACCCAATTTACTGATCTAAAACAGACAACAATGCTGCCATGAAGCACGCTCAACAGCTCACGCTGGTGTTTAGACAAGTATCAAAAGTGAAAACAAGTATCTGTTCTTGGAGGAGAAAGAGTGAGCAGTCCCTGTTGCCACGTGCTGTGGCCCCCGGGGAGAACTGCTTCTGAGGACCAACATCTGACCCCATGATGCCACATGACAGACAGTGGAAGGGCAGAGGACACAGCCCACGCCCCCTCAGGACGGTCAGCTGCGTAAGGCCACGTCCTTCTATCAGCGCACACAGCCAAAGCCTCCAGTGTTCCGGCAGTGTCACACCTCAGGCCACATGTCACTGACACAGCAGAGATTTCCAGGGTAAAACTGGGATGCGGTAGCTCCCACACTGGGCAGGTGCTTGCCGCAGATGACCATCATCTGATTCTTACACCCACGTGAACTGCTGTGGAAGAGTGTGAGGGTGGCTAGCACAAGACGACAACAGAGATCAACCACTGAACAAAGAAGACAAAGAACGCAGCCAAAAGCCAGTAGTAAGATAAACGGAATGACAAAATGCACCACATGACCCGAAGGCAGGACAAGAGGAGACCAGCCCTTTCTGGCCAGGCTGGGCCCCTCCCTCTCAGCACGGACACGCTGGGTCTGACCCAAGATTCTGGTGCATACTTCGAGCACACTCATCCTTCCGCACACCTAATCCACACACCTCACACCCTCTCTTCAATTTAACAATACTAACACTGTGATCTGCAAACAGTCTGAGAAAAGACACTCCAGGTATGGATTTAAGAAAAATGAAGCACCCATTTTTGCACATGCAACTATCATCACAGAAATTATCTTCCAGGAAAATGTACCTAGATACAGTCTTAGGCAAAAAATCAAAACAACTGTAGGACTATGAATATTATACACAAATTTCCCCTCTGTCCTTTTGCATCTAAGGATTTTTGATTCTATAGAAATAGCGACAAAAAATGAATTTGGTCCTATACAGTTTATTTTATACACATATAGTGATTATTTTTAAAAAGACTGTAAAGGGGCCGGCCCCGTGGCACAGCGGTTAAGTTCATGTGCTCCGCCTGGGCGGCCTGGGGTTCGCAGGTTCGGATCCCAGGCACGGACAAACACTCCACTCCTCAAGCCATGCTGTGGCGGTGTCCCATATAAAGCAGAGAAAGATGGGCACAGGTGTTAGCTCAGAGTTAATCTTCTTCAAGAGAAAAGAAAAAAAAAAAAAGATTGTAAAATGTTCACGTATATTTACTTAAAATTACATGAAATAAATGTATTCCAAAACAAAGAGCTCAAAGACGTCATGTTATCAATTACATCCATCTCAACCAGGAGTGAGGAATTCAAGAAACACGTTTCCTCACAGGACTTGTTGAGACTCGAGGGTGCCTGCACTCCAGGGTGCCCACACCATGGACACCAAGGTCGCCCAAGCCTGGAGCTGGCCTCACTCCACATCTGTGCATGCTGAGGACCCCAAACGTGGGAGCCCACTCTCGTGCCAAGTTCTCATTTCCTCAACCCAGCAGGAGCAGGACACCCCATTAGGGATATGCCAAAGCCCCCTCAAATTCCACACCATCTGAAACTGAGCCTGTCTCCCCACTATGTCCCACCTCAGCCAGAGGCCACGCTATCCTCTGGGGCATGGTTTAGGGCACAGTGGTCAGCCCAGGGCCATCCCTCCTTGCTTCCCCACATCCAGTCAAGGTCTGTCCCACCCACAGTGGCCACACCTCTGCTGAGGACTCCATCATTCCCCACACCAGCTTCTCCCTGCCCAGCTCCTCCATCACTGTCGGACCACCACCCACTCAGCCTCTGGTCTACCAACAACTCACTCCAGAGCAGAGCAGCCCACACGAGCTGGCTCCCATGTCTCCCTCTTGCCAGTCCCCCCAGTGCCCCTATACCAGTTCTCCACTGGCCTTACATCTCTCTTGGGCACAACTGGTGCATGCCACCCCTCCCACCTGCGAAGCAACCCGGAGGCTTCTCCACTGGTGTCACGCCCTGGGAGTGCCAGGCAAACTTCGCTGAGCAGGAACCACAAAGGTCTGCCTCCATCAGTCAGCACACCAGAAGCTAAGCTCAATTTTCTGAAAGAATATCATTCACTCCTTGTAAAGGTCTGGTGTTTACCTTCTAAAAACAATGCTTACAATCAAGACTCACAGAGCAAACAAGAGGGCACTACCATAGCTGCTATAGATAAAGTAGTTAAATCTCATTAGTGATTTTTAAATTATCTCAACTTGAACTAAACCAAATCTGTAATGCTTAAAATCGATCTTCAGTTGTTTTACCTGGAAAAATTCTAGTTCATCTGGAACTACTCCTCGTTTTCCAGTGTTGTTCATATTCACTTTCTGTGCTAAAGGGGAGCCCATTCGTGGCCCAATGGATGTCAAAACTAATAGGCTGTGGCACCTTCAGGAGGAAGGCAACACATAAATGCAGTATCACTGCCAGATTCCCTAAAACCAGATTGAACACAGCCACCCAGACAGTTCTGGGTGAGACCATTCAGCAATTCTATACCCTGCGGGAAATCTGGATGCTAACTGCTGAGTCCCAATTTGTCGGTCCACTGGACAAAATCAATTTCAAAACAGACAACCATGAATGACAGCGGTCAGTACTCGATGTCTGGACATCATACCCAACGACTACACTTAGCAATGCTTGGTGCCACCAGGGAGAAGCCCACCTCTGTATGGACACAGCCCCAGCCCCAACCTGCTTACCCCCCTAGGTCACTAAGCCACTGCGGGAGCCGCTCCCATTACACCCCCAGAGCCCAGGTCGGGGAGCCCAGGTGTCTGTTCCCAAATCAAATGAGATGGTTTTCTGAAGTGTCATTTTTGTTGGCTGGTGAGGTCAATTAGTCATGAGAAAAAGGGCACAAATTGCTGATTTGTATTCATTCCACTAACAGACATCTGCCTCAACACTACACAGACCTTCTCACAGTTTGATTGGCATTTATTGTTGGGAAAACCAACAGCCTCGTAGGTCCATCTGACCCACTTCTCCATCTCAAGAAGGGGAAAAAAGGTCAGTTTGTGTGTGGGCTGTGGGAATGTACGCTGGCACTCGGGCTCAGCCCTGTGTGAGAGACAGACAACCAGTGGGGAGTGGGCTACGACTTCTGTGTGGCAAGGTCCCCACACACCCTGACTTTTGTCCTGGCACCCAAATACCTGTGTGCTGTGTCCTTG